GAGTTGCGTCCCTTGGGCACGCCAGAAACCTATGATCGTGGGTTCGAATCCCGGTTCGCCCCGATTATGTTTCTAGGTTTGTCAGCACCATACCCGTGCTCGTGGGTTTCACCGAAGTGGTAAACGTCTGAGACCTGCATCACTTCGGGCTTTCCTCCCACATTAAGCTGACACGCCGCGATATAACTGGAATACTGTTAAAAGCGGCGATAAACCCAGCTCACTCACTCACTGACCACCCGATTGCGTTAGTCGCCTCTTACGACAAGCATAGTCGCCTTTGACGGCAAGTATGGGTTGCTGAAGGCCTTTTCTACCCCGGATCTTCAAGGGCAAAGCCGTCGGGAGATGATGACACGCAATCCAACAGGTCACCTGACCACCTGATTTTCAGCAACCAATGCTTGTCATTAGAGGCGACTAACGGGATCGGGTGGTCAGATAGTGTGACATATCATCGTATCCCAATTGCGAAGATCAATGCTCATGATGCCAATCAATGGATTGTCTGGCACAGACCGCCGTCATATAGTTGTGATATTGCCGGGTGCGGCGTTAAACAACAAACCTTTCGTGACAACCCATGAGCACGGTATTGTCGGGACAAAGAATCCATACACCAGGGCCCACTTGCACAAAGCGATCTTAGCGCTAAGATGATCGTAACTCCCATACTTTAACATGGACTTACGATAGTCTTAGCGCTAAGATCGCTTTGTGCAAGGGGGGCCAGGTTGAAAGTGGTATTGGAACAGACTGTCAGATGCCGACAGGACGAAGTAAACCAACAGTGCATAAGTCCGGACAAGCCAAATCAATGTTTGATTGCAAAAATTAAAGTTTTTGATGGGCAATTAGAAGTTGGAAGAACATGAAGACGTGATATTTTTATGGAAAGTTGCGGCGATAAACAAACAAACAAACAAACCCCGACCGCCTGCTCTATCGATCTGATTGCGGCCATCATTGGTTGCTGGGGGCCTATCATAAACCGGAATACCGATTCTCTCTTTGACTATAGTGTTGCATGTGACAACCTTTCTATAAATCACCGGGGTGGTCGGGTAGCCTGGTGGTTAAAGCGTTTGCTCGTCACGCCGAAGACCCGGGTTCGATTCCCGATATGGTTACAATGTGTGAAGCCCATTTCTGGTGTCCCCCGCCGTGATATAGCTGGAATATTGCTAAAAGCGGCGTATAACCGTATACACTCACTCTATAAATCACCGATGCTGAAATATCCACACGAAATTCTTTCTGTTCCAAGAATGACATATTCCTGGTGTAGCACATGACAATAAACATATCTCCATTTACAATATGCCTTCATTCATTCGTCCTACTTCAATTAGTCATCGCAAAATGAACTGCAAACATGTTTGTAACTATGCACTATAACATGTGGCATTATGCGACTAACGGGTGTTTTTTTACTTAATCTGGGCAAGTGTGAGTTCTGTAAATCAGACCACATGCATATTTTATCTTTTGATTGATATTGGTCTCAAGCATAAAACAGCCCCAGATAGTTTTATCCAGATTTGCAACTGTGCTCAATTAAACAATTGTCCATTCTAGCACCATGACAGTATACATGGCTGAAGTGGCTTCAGAAAGGTTGTCGACTGTATGCAGTTTAAAAAGATTTTTTTTTATTTTTTGGGGGGGGGGGGTCATTTTTGGCAAAGACCAAAGCTAGACCGAACATCTAAATACTCATTGATCACGTCCTCTCATATCAACTGACCAATCTCACAATAATACACGCCGAAAAGACTGACCATTGTAAGGCAAACGTACATTTTGAATATATACACTAGAAATCTCATTCAACTTACATGCACTCAAACCCCGCAAACTGGCTAACATTATGAATTTGGCGCCCAAATTAAAATATCAGATCTGAATTTTGTTTGCACTTTTAGAGACAAAGTTTTTAGGGTCTTCCGTGCATGAGCTTGCCGTCATCCCATGACGTGTTCCGATATTCACATCTTATGCATCAATATGCAAGAGACATTGATTCAGGTTCCAATTCATGGATCCATATAATCACAAATTTGTCATATTTGCAGCATCTAGGAGCATGGTCAGAGTAGTCCCTGAGTGTCTTCAGAATGAAATAATTAACCAGTGTAAACTCCGGATTTGAATCGGATCGAACTTGCTGAGGATGTCCTCAAGACAATGTTTCTGATAAGTGAGAACACGCGTGTTGGATTAATGCTCGTCTGTTGAACAAGTTTGGGCACCATGCATCATGTTGTCAGCGGTCAGGAATAATACCGCTTTATTACAATGGCTGGTAAATAATCGAGCTTGGACCAGACAAACATGACCAACGTCGACAATGACACCCAATCAACCAAGTCACTGAGCCTCATCACCCGATCCATTTAGTAGCTCATTATTGACTGCTTAACCCTTTATCTAATGATTTTCAGCTTAAGCTTCCTCATGCAGGCAATGTATGGCGGAACTTGTTTACAGAGTCAGATATGCCCTTTGGGATAATAATTAAAGGGCATGCCAAAAAACAAGGTCAAAATTCAAAATGTTGAAAAACGGAACATATGTGTTGAACTAAACAATTCAGATTCGAGCCTCTTAAACAAATTCAGGTGTCATCATTGGTGCATACTAGCATGTGAAGTTTCAGCTTAATTTGGTTCGCAAGTTTCAGATGAGATGGTGTTTACATTGAGAGGAATGAATTTTGGGAGAATTTAGGACCATGGTCAAAATGCAAGGTCAAATAAAGGTCAAAATCTAAAATAGCATGAAATAACGGAACATGTGTTGAGCCCTATCATTTACTACAAATATGCCAAATTTTATTACATCTTGAAATACGATGTTTCATTCAAGTCCATAAGAAGTTTCAGCTTTCAGTATGGTTGAAGTGTGAAGGTCAAATCAAGGTCAAAATTCGAAATATCACAAAACACGGAACATATATCTTGAGCCCCACTTATAACTACCAAATTTCAAGACATTTGTAACAAAAATTCGGATTCAAACCTCAAACAAAAATGCATATTTTTAGTGAGGACAAGCATGTGGAATTTCATCTTCACTTGTCTAGTGCTTTTTTAAGGAGATGGTGTTTATGCTTGGCCACGACATAAGCTCATTTGACTTTCAGACCTTTAACACACCATTGGGGGGCACGGGTGGCCCAGTCGTCTAAGGCGCCGTGATTCGCTGTGCAGAGTTGTGTCCCCTGGACACGCCAGAAACCTTTGATTGTGGGTTCGAATCCCGATTCACCCCGATTATGTTTCTAGGTTTGTTAGCACCATACCCGTGCTCGTGGGTTTCACCGAAGTGGTTAACGTCTGAGACCTGCATCACTTCGGGCTTTCCTCCCACATTAAACTGACACGCCGTGATATAACTGGAATAATGTTAAAAGCGGCGTTAAACCCAACTCACTCACTCACTTACACACCACTGACACATGTAACTATGTTCTTCTTGTATGTTGCTCCTATACAATGATGTGAAATACTTCAAATGACTTCAGTTAGCAAACATAGGCTAATAGGTACCTATTCCGAGCCAGAATCTTCATGAGGACATCATAGACTATTTCTATTTGCCTTATAAATGCTTATTTACCACCTTATTGTCTGTTTCAATCTCTTGAGAGCCGCTACACACATTCCAGTTCTCTAAGCCTGGCATTGTGGAACATCTTTCAATAGTTAATGCTCCTTGGGTTCTTTCATTGATACAATCGGGAAATTCCCTGACTGATTTGTCTGTTAAACACATAACTTTGATTGACTATTAAAAACAATATTTTATGTCAATAGTAACAAAGAAGACCAGAATAGCCACTGTGTCAATATTGGAATAGATTCCATATCCATGTTCAGCAACACATGAGATTTTCACTGATTATGATACTATTGCCATGACAATTATGCATGTTATTGTGAAGTCGGTTTGTCATCCCTCCATTCACCTGAAAAAGATTTGGCTTTTTTCTCTGCCCTATCCTCAATAGTATTTGCATACATACAAGTTCCTATAATAAACAATTTCTACTCTCCATCGGATTTCTTTACATCCATGATGCACTGCTTTTGGCAGAGATTTTTTTTATGATTATGGAAAGGGCTTTGACGCCTGTAACATTGAGAAGATGTTTTGATGGTGACTGATTCTATTTTCTCTCAATTGCACACACTGACCCACTTTGAAACGCCTCCGAAAAACACCAGTGAACGCAAAGTTGCAGGGTTTGGATGATAAATGCTGGGAATGTACTTTGCCTGTAAACTACATTATGGGGTACTTAATAGGCTCTTTGGCATGGTAACTGATGAATTCTGACAAGACTCAGATTCGTAAACATCTAGTGATAACATTAACAAGCCAAGTGGCTGATATAGCACCATGTAAATGGCAAACCACAATTACGATTTGGTTTTACTACCCTTCCCCAATAGGATGTGTTCCACCTCATGGCTAGGATAACTAATAGCCAGTGCCCATTCAGGAGGCAATGATTCCAACACACTGCATATTTAAATAGCACCTGGAGACATTGAATTGTTCGCAACTCCCATAATCATATCAACATCACTTTGGGATCACTTCATCAAAGGTTTCACAGTTCCTATACTTTAACATTAAAAACAGAATCCCATCACAAAACGTAGCATTCACTCAGGATAACTTTGGATAGTTAAAACGGAAAAAAAGCTACCCAAAGCTTTCTAAAAGATACGGCTCCGAAAGTGTTTTGTTCAATCCAGTGTACCTTGGTATTGTCAGGATTTTGTTAAATGACAAGAGAATGGAAATCTTATCACACAAAGTGCCATTAATAGTAAACAGCATTCCGAATACCATTCTCACCACACACAAAGTCCATTTATTTTGCTCAAATGTGACACACAAACTTCATGATCGCCCAGTCAGGTTTGCTGGCTCTTTTTCCAACACACATATCCAAGTTGGTCCTCAAGCATAAACAACAAGTTCTTGAGTGATAATTCCTTAAATTTAGTTTATTATTGTTATTATTATCATAAGTACATACATACATGTTTATTTACAAACATTTGGCAGTTTTAACTGCACAGCACTGTACAGACAAATGACCATAGAGGCAAAATGAACATAGTATTTTGGCAGAGACATGACTTGCATGTTACTAGCAGCATACAGTGTAATTTATATAGACTACATCACAGAGAGGTAATATACAGACTCAATCAATGAGTTTTGAATGTCGACTTGAATAAATACATCCAGATGAGTATTAGCTAATCAATACGGATACAAGTAATTACAATGTTGCTGTTCGTCCAGCAGCAATGATTATAGGCTTTGTCACCCACTGGCCCAGTTCTGTCACATCTCATGATTATCCCTTTCTTATTGCTTTTGTAATGTGATGACAGGCTGCATATTGCATAAATATTATAATTTCACCCTCATTAATTCTGATTTGTGTCAGTGTTGTAGAAAGGTATATTCTTAAAGCAACATTTATCTCTCTTGAGCATAAAAAACCCACAAATGCTTTATCTTCATTAAATTGTTACACAGTAAGGGATGAAGGATAAGAATTATTGTGCTTGAGGTCATTTTTTGTTAGGAACCTCAGATACTCAAAGGTATCTAATTACAGAATAGAACAATCATCAAAGCAAATATAAACACAATGTTGACAGAAACATTATTTGAACATAAAATGAATGATATGATTAAAAAGTTATCCATAGAGAATATCTTTTTTATTTTGTTATGTTAGGCAATAACTGCAGGCTCAATATGTAATATCTTAATACCTCAAATAAAAATGTTAAAATAAATACGAAAATATCAACCCTAATGTAAAACAAAAAAAAATTAACATACATACATTCAGCTAATAATCAATAAAGGTTTGGAAGAAATTGTCTCAAAACGTTGTTTCCACAATGTAAACTTTGGGTAAAACAAAACTGTATCAAAACGATATAATCATGAAGAAAGTCTCAGGCCCATCTGCCCAAAATTAGTCAGTTCTGAATGGCAGCAGATTGGAACAGAAAACTATACCACCCATTTTACAAATACTATCAGTCAAACCAACACCTCATGAGGTTCTGACAAACAATATAAATGTCCTCTTACCAGCAACTTTTCACAATTATGCCTTGTTTAGTACTCGGTAAAGAAAGTATCATAAATATGACTTGTGAATCACAAACTCACACAGATTATTACAGCTGTTCATCACCATTACAATTCTTTTATTTCTTTAACGTTCCCAATCTAAAAAATTCAGTAAATTAAAGGCCAAAAAATGAAATTAAAAATAAGAGCTACAAAACTGAGAAATTGATCTGATACATCAACACTGCTGTCACAACAATGTCCTTGCATATTTGACACTGGTAATACACACTCCAGACACATGGCAAATTGAAGCAGACACACCTGACTCACTAGCTGCACAATAACAATATTGCTTTTTGATACGAGATAATGACTGATATCAACAAAACAGTCATTTCTGCATAAAGAGAAAAATGTGACCATGACACTTAACTTGCACAAACCATGCCTTGAACATCAGTAATACACAAAATGAAATATATCTCATAAGAATAGAGGAAGCAGTTATGATTTTTTTTTTTAACATGATCACAGGAGTTGTTTGATTCTTTTCAGCATCTGGAGGATTCAGGCAGTTTTTGATATCCATACTTAAAGAGGTGCTTAACTCTCTTGTAAACGTATATGGTAAAAACATACACATAAATCAGATTGAGTAAAGCCGTGTGAACCTTTTCAAATTAAGGTTTTTCATCTGATAAAACAGTACGCAAAAATTGGAATTTGTTTTCCAGTTCCAGAAATATTTGGTGCATATCAAGCAAAACAGACCTATGGGCCTAATTGCCCCCTGAACATTCCTAAATCAAAGATGGACATGGTATAGCTCTATGACAAAAATGTACTTTGGAGACCAAGAAGAAAACTACTCTTTCTAAAAAGTGCTGGAGGAATACAACATGAAATACAATTGAGTGGGGTATGGTTAACCTAAGTGACATCAAGAATGGCATAGATTGTAGTTGTAAAAAAATGTTTTTGATACAAATGTGAATTTACCTTAGATTCATTGTGAATCAAAATCATCCTTTTTGCACATTTTCTTCTTAAAGTGATGAGAAAACAAGAATTTTTTTCTGTGGCCTAAGACTTATTGCACATGACCTAGAGCTTGATACTGAATGTAGCAAGTTGCTTGTCAGAAGTTGTCCTGCAACTTGGACAAGTTATGTTCAAGATTTGTTTGTTTGTTGTTCAACGCTGCACTCAGCAGTATTCCAGCTATATTACGGCGATCTGTAAATAATTGAGTCTGGACCAGACAATCCAGTGATTGACATCATGAGCATCAATCCATGCAATTGGGATACAATAACATTTATCAACCAAGTCAGCGAGCCTGACCACCCGATCCCATTAGTCGCCTCTTACGACAAGCAGGGGTTGCTGAAGACCAAGTAATGTTCAAGAAATGAAGGAACTTCAAAACCAAACTCCACAGCAAAAGCAAACGATCACATCAGCTTATTGATTGCCAAAAAAATTGATAACAATATCAATGATATGAACTATATGTCCTTATAAACTGGTAAATATTCTAGCTGTAAACAAGCTTCCAGTATGTTTATGGACAGACCTGGCTCGCCTGATGCTGTTTTAGTAAGTACGAGGCTCCCGTTCAAACTACTCAGCTTTTACCAATGTTAACAGAGAATGAAAATAACCAGATAACACAATACACCTTGAGAGAATACAGACAGCAGAAGTTTAGTCTAAAAATCTGAAATTGTCTTAAGTTTACTTTCACAAACGCACAAATCTGTAGAAAGTCTATCAGTCCATCTTCAACATTATCAAGCACCAGTACAAATTATATTTCAAAGAAATAGATGGTAGTTGTGTGTTTGGTGCTTCAACGTCAATACAGCATGACAACTAATAACGTAAGGACATACTTTTTCCTTTGAGAATAGATACCTTTTCAGGAATCTGAAGAGTCCCTCACTTCTCAATAACACAACACACAGGCTGCAGTACTGAGACAGGGGATCATGTTGAAGCAGATGATAAACTTGTAGGATCTGTGTACCATCATCAACTAACCCACGTGATCCAACAAGACAGCAATCTGCATACACCAGTATGAAGTTGGACAGTATTGAAGTACAGAAGGGTCTCACTAAACAGGAATGAGTGTTGTATGATTATCATGAGAGGGGTCCGTCAGAATGAGCCACAATATGAACACAGCTCTATGGACAACAGTGGAACATGCACTCATGGACCTAGCTGTGTCCACTAACAGGCAATGGTACAGATGCTTGTATTTACATATGTACATATACTGGCTGCTGGCTCCAACTGTGCATCAGGAGAGTCGGTGAGTTACACATGGAAGTCTGCACATCAGCTACTTGTCAGATGATAAGTATCAAAATGTTTCTGTCCAGTGACATCAGATAATAATAGTCCATTTATCATCACCAAAATCTACCGAAAATGAAAAAGACAAGTTGAGGCAATTAGATTCACAAGTTTTTGGCATGGACTGGCTCTTGTTTCAAGGATAATAATCCCATGAATACTTGAAACAAATGTCATTTGAAGATGGCATATTGTGCCTGAAATATGTTTGATTAAAACCACTCAATTTAAAATTATGAGGTGTTCGTATCTGTATCTGATTTGCTAGCTTTTGGTTTGGGGCAGTGTCCCTGTAAAGGTATCCTAACCCAAGTGTTTATTCCTGAGAATGAAAACGTACACCTTGTTGTGCCCAGTTTACATCCTACCAACAGGTTGAATCCAACAAGGTACACGCCAATAGATGCTCACTACTTGTGTTACCCCAGAACTTGGAACATATTTGCACAAACATGGATACCTCTGTTGCCTGAAGATGAATATCATAATTGAGGAGTTTATGTATTTTCCAGAGATTATAAACCACAACTTTATTTAACATTCTCGGATATGGAATCCATGATAGGAATGTGGGCATGAGCATTAACAACAGTGATATCACACGAACATGAAATCACCTGCAGTTTACAACCAGATCAAGATCTAGTTGTATCACACTGGAACATAATCTTACTTCCTTTGCCTTCAGTAAATATTCAACACACCTTACTGCATATAGCCAATATTATGGTATTTTGATAAAACAGTTTTAAGTTATTTGGAATACTGGAGATTTACAATTGTAAGTGTCCATATGATGTTGTATACCAGTACTGATGATGTACAAAATAGGGACTCACATGAATGTGTTAAACCTACAGACCCCAGCAGCACTGGCAGAATGGAACATCTTCTTACCTGTTTTCAGTATCCATATTTTGACTATAATTTAACCATATTTTATAACAAAGAAAAAGTATAAAGTCGCTGATATGATGAAAGATAAAGAAAAAATAACCTCTAAAGACTGAGCTACATAGGCAAACGTTTGAGCTACTCTCCATAATATGATTGGTCACCAACAAAGAAATACAAATATATATGGTGGGGGGTTCATATTCAAAGGATCTTTAGTATTTTATTGAAATGGAAAATAAATTATGTGCCTATAGCAAAAAACAAAGTCATAAATGAAGGGGCTTACAAATGGAATGAAATGTGGTGAGAAAAAAAAGGATATTATTCTTTGGAGGTAGTACTCAATGCAAAATGTCAGTCATGGCAACCTGATTCTTAAATAATGGAACAAGCAGTAATGTATACAATGATGCTGCTAAGCAGTGTTAGTATGATTGGTGACCAAACATAAAGCTGAGCTAACCAACAACTTTAACACAACAAGAAACTTGTAACAAATATACTCATAGCAATGATAAAAATTAACTCAACATTCACATTAAATTGACTTGTATTATATCCATGTTTGAGTCCTCAGTCAATGTAACAGTGCATGAGATTGAAAAGCCTCTAAAAGACAGACCAACAAAGTTAAAATGCTGTGCTGTATCACATAAGATTTAAAACTTGGCACATAATTGAGCAATTCTAGAGGAAAGCAAACATAGCAAAGGAGCATGTAACAACAAATGGAAATAGCAAGAGATCCTCACAGCTGAATTGTGTGAGGGCACAGTACAGAGTTGGTGTTAGCTATGTCGGGCCATCCCAACAGGTTTTCAGGAACATATTGCTCGTATTTTGAAGTTCAATGTCTTATTTTAAAATACTCCGACATGTTGTCGCATCATGTGACCATATTTCACCAGGTGACAAATATGAGTGTTCTTGAGTGTCACTCCCCCGCCTCCCCCCTCCCCCCCCCCCCAAATAATGTCATGTGGTTATGGCTATCTTCCTTGGCCACACCCTTAGCACCTCAGAGACACAAGGCAATCGTCGGTCAACACCCAGTCGTCACTCTCAACACGCAGCATGGATCCATATTATGTCCACAGAAAACACACTCCACACCCTCAGATATTCACAGATCATGAACTGGAGATATTTTAATCCAACACACAGACAAGAGAGTTCCAGAAGTTCTTTCAAATGCAAGGGTTCCATTCTTTTTGATTCAATCTCCTTAGACAAACACTTCTCCACATCTTCATCAGACACAAATCATTGTCCACAGTTCCAAAACACTAGCAGACATCCCACAGGTTCTCACTGTCGTACACACATTCATCACTTTGTTGGATGATTTTCCATTTGAAATCTCAGTTTTGAGTTCAAAGGCCTACAGTGTATATAAATATGTGTGTCGATTATGTTTCTAAATGGATGTATAAATAACATGAGTTGTGTCTAGACCTGCAGTCTAACAGGAACATGAAGTACTTCAGTCTATCACTGTCACAAGTAGTCTTCCTGGACCTTGCTATAGTTCTTCTTTCAATCACAGACTTTGAATCTCATGGGGGAAGTTTTGTCTCCATCACAACTGAATCCAACATGTCTTCAACACACTGTCATTGACCATCAAAGGGAAGTAATCCTCCTTTTTCATTCGCACAAGTTCATGGCAGAGATACCAAGAAAAAACAACTTATGAGTAAAAGCCTTTGGGAAATAAATGATCTATGTTATCAACCTCCGATTGTTTTTGGCCAATCCAAACATGAAAGACTTTTTTCGCCTGTTGGCATAATTGAACCAATCACAGTTTGGCTTCACACAGCATCACACCATAATCTCATCTTCCTCAGCAATGTTCTTAAAGTCTGGTATTGATACGAAGCTGGACTCAATGACCATGTGGTCAACAAACGATCCTGACACGTCAGTCCTCTGTACAGTGATTGTTGGCACAGGCACATCGTCAAGTTCATCATCAGGAAGACTCCCACACGACTGATACCGTAATCGCGCCTTCTTGATAGCAACAGAGTACCTTGATGGTGGTTTCTTAAACGGTTGAATCGTTCTTCTCTTTGTCAGATGTAGAAGAGAGGGGGGACTGACTGAAATAGATAAAATTAAATAAGTAAATCAAAAAAGTTTGTTTTTTACTTAAGAAAAAACTTCTAAACAGTGACCTATAAGTCCTTAAAAGTTCAAAATGTGTTATCCACTGTAATGTTTAAAAAATGACTGTATGACTAAAGAAATACAATCGTAAAGGTGGATGAGTTATATAATGTTGAAAGCAAATGCAATGTCCTACTTAAGTAGATATAACAAGTACTGACAGGTTACTTGATCCTACATTCTGAAACATATCTGAAATTGCACATGTGATCTAAAAGTGATAACCTTCACCTTTAAGGTTAACTATGTTACGGTATTATACACATTCTCTACCTCTCCCAGGATGCCTTAGAATGGTAATGATGTTAATTTGAAAAAGCTGCATTCGACTGCTCATGAGAGATCTAGTCTTTGATAGGCATTTAGAAGACCATGTATACATAACACTTTTTTTATGGATAAAAATTTCTTTTATTCCCTTTAGAGCCACTTCTTGCCCCCCTTCATCAGGTGAATACTCTGATGAAGGAGCAAGAAGTAGCTCTGAAACATCATTAAAAAGAACAAAAGAAGTTTCATCCATAGAATGTCCATAGATGTTATGTCAGTTCAAAATTAAGTATGAAAATAACCAGATTCTTATGGCTCAACTTATTTTGACTCTGCAATGACTTTTTATTTATACAGATGCATATTGGTAAGGTTCAATACTTGCGAAAGAGGCAATAGTTTGGTTGTTGGGGAATTGGGAAGCAACAACTTGCTTTATCAGAGCAGCTTGTGTGTAACACACCGTGCAGTTAATCCTACATAGTTCAACAAGTAAGCTTTGAAAAAGAGATTATCCGGTATTAGCTGAGCATGTGTCCCTAGCAAAAATATCTTATATTAGGAATACAAATTGTACAACATAGTTTTTATTCCTAATATTTGATATTTCTGCTATGGAAATACACGAGGTTAATAATCTCCATACCAAATAATCAAAGTCTTAGACGTTATTTATTCAATCAAGTTACAATAAATATAACTACAATGTTTGAGTGAACTGACCCATTTATCATACAGATTAAAACCCAAACATCAGGAAAGTCCTATCTAACCTCATTGGGAACAATATAAGCAAGTTTATTAACCAAGCAGACATTGCATCTATGTTAGGAACTTAAAAGAAGTTCCTCCTAGATAAGCATATTTGCATTATGATACCCAGTTTGTCGCAACAATAACACTATCCTTTATATAATAAATATGTTGAACAGTAAAAGTTGAGTTTTATCACGTTGCTGAAATTAACAAACATGGATATAATACCGACAAACCAGACCCATGAATTTTGGCTTTCAATACACAATGCACAGAGCACAACCACAGAAACACAATCAAAAGTACACATAATGTATTTTAATGAAGTATTTTGACATTGGAGATATTTGATCGTTTTCATTGCAAACCCTATGACTAGAACAATACCATTGAGAGGTGAAGGTTCTTGTATCTACCCACAACACTTGTGTGTCCCCACCCTGCCCTTCCCATGACCAGGGTCAGGGGGTTCTCAAGCTACACTGAGATGATATACTGTGGGTGTGGGAGGGAGCTTTATGCGGCTTTTAGCAATATCACAGCAGAGGACACACATTGTAACCATGTGGATAACTGAACCAGGGACTTCGGCATCACAATCAACAGGCTTTAAACACTAGGCTACCCTAGCCCCCCCGACTGTTTAGGGAATAGGCTGGCAATTTATCCTCAATCATTAATATTGATCCAAATGATTAATCACTGACACAATCTTTTGGGACATCATGCCCTGTCATTCATCAATCATAATCAGTTGTTGTTTTTTCTACAATAACAATAATAATAATAGAGAACAAAAGTCTTTCTTTCTCCACAATTGATGGTGGACACTTACAGTCTATCACTGCTGGAGTACCTTGCAAGTAATCAGTCATTAATCATAATTGATCAGAATGCATGAGTAAGAAAGAGTTTCCTTGAAAGACAAGGAAGACGTCTACAAGACTATCACAGCGAACATGTCAGTCACAGAAAGGAGGATGAAGACAGATCTCTGCAATGCATCTTTACTCTCATTCACTAGAAACTACAAGAAGTAATAATATTTGCTCTACTTTTCTGCATTTGAATTAGTGAAATCTACACATGTCAAATTTCCTACTTGGATCTCAATAAAGCACCATACTCCTCTATGACAAGTTCTTATGTGTTCTCAAACAGGCATTTGGCCTTAGTCCACATGCAACATTGACAATAGTCTTAGCTTCAGCCCTCACACTCTATCATGGTCCCATGCCATACATCACACATCCTTCTCTTCTGGACAAAAATCTCATGTAAGGGAGAGACCTGTGAGTTTGGTTTAAAATGGCTTTGAACAGTAGTTCAGTTACATCACAGAGTGTCAGCTTGATGTAGAAGGAAAGCCCAAGTGATGCAGGCCTAGTGGTGATACACCAAGAAACACAATGACGGCAAGTCAGGAATCGAACCTATCATCACAGATTTCTGACAGACTACTCTGCACTACAAATTGCGATACCTTTGAAGACTGGGCCAACAATGCTCCTTATGGAAAAGACAACTTGATACTTCACTGGAAAGGATGGTCAATAGTAACACAACTATGTTGAACAACAATTTAAATTTTTATGTTACAACTTTTGAAATCCCATAAGCTGAGGCCATTAAACTGACTGCTCTTACCTGACTAAGAAACACAAACAAATAGCCTGACTCTTACATATCCTGTCTTTTATTCAATGCTGAATAAACATTTGCACACCTGCTAAACACAGTTATAGCTTTAAGAGTGGGTAACTAAAGAAGTCAATAAATGTAACCAATTAAAAGGGGCCTACTCATTCCCATTACACATCAGTAGGGCATGGTTTATATAAAGACAGCATAATGTCCTACAGTGAACTCTTGTAAGTGAAGCTTGTATGTAAGTTAGGTCTCTGTGCACCCATGAAAAGTGTGATAAAGGAATGATGTTGATGAAATATATGAACCCCCTCCACATTGATAAACAATAAGATTAGGACTGTGCAAGTGATTTTTTTATTTTACTTATTTATATATACGGTGCAAGTGATTTTTATTATATATATATATTAATGAATGAACATTTACAACAGAGCAGCCAAGTCCTTTTGGACCAGCCAAGTCCTTAATGACCAGCCTAAGCCATCCGACCAGCCAAAGCCTTCTGACCAGCCAAGTCCTTATGGACCAACCACGTCTATCAGACCATCCAAGTCCTTATATACCAACCAACCATGTCCATCAGACCATCCAAGTCCTTATACACCAACCAACCATGTCCATCAGACTATGCAAATCCTTATAGACCAACCAACCAAGTTCATCAGACCATTTATACACCAAACAAGGCCATCATACCTCCCAAGACCATTGGTCCAGCCAGGTCAAACATGGTCCATCAGACCTGCCAAGTCTATGAGACCTACCAAGGCCTACAGACCAGCCAAGTCCATGCAACCAGCCAAGCCTGTCAGATCTACCTAGAGCTGGCGATGAACATCAGGTCTGCCACTGATCTATTCCAGGAAGCTATGACCATCTCTCTGCTTACTCAATGACACAATGAGGGCTGAAGTTAACACTAGACACCAGCATCCAAGTTTTTCTTCCTACAGGTTAGTGATCCCATTCCAAGTAGGCGTGTACACAAGGGCAGGGGATATCTACATAGTTAATTCCAATACATACAAAGCTCATAAACTGAAGACTTTTTACCTGTCACCATTTGTTTTAGCTAAAACAAAACAAAGGAGTTGCAAATGATATCTGCATGCAGAAGGAAGGAGAAGCACAGCAACAGAAAGCACACATTTCTCCATGTGCCATCCAACAGCTACAAATACTCATGACCTGAAAATCTAGTCCCGTCATTATTAGCTTCATTGATAACTTTCTATAAACGAGTGAAAATCATCTGATGATAATTTGGTGATTGATATATACTACTCAAAAGTAGTTAAGGATCACCCGATTCTTTCATATTACTGTTGTCATTCTGTCATGCCGTGTATAGTAATTTACATAGTAATATGAAAGTAATATCAGGTGTTCCTATACCTTTAATGAGCAGTATGTTTTAATACAAGGAAACAAATGCACATATTTTTCTTAATTTTTAATGCAAATCAGAAATGCCTCCCCAGGTTGATTAATACTACAAATAGAGAACCTAGCGGCACATAGAGATTTTGGCACATGGAGAAAACAACAGAGCGGATGAACAACACAACAGACAAATAGTTACAGACATGAAGAATAACTATATCTATTCACACAATCATTATAAGTATACACTCTCATAAGTCTGATATACAGCTTAATAGTTCAGTTATCTTACAGAGCAAGCTTTGTCTTTATACAGTAGTAGTATCATTAGATAAGTGTATACTTGAATACAACATCACATTATCATTCAAACATGTCATGCATTTGATATATTCTGGGCTATATAACACAGGGTTCGCTCAGAATTCCGGTCAAAAAGCTTAAAAATATAAAAGAATTGGTTCTCAGGAGGGGTAGGTGCGGGTAGGAGGGCGGTCTTTTGTTTTTTGTTGTTGTTGAAACTAGTATGTAACCAATTAACAATTGTGTACAATCAACCCTGGAAAGGGCCTCCCTACATAAATGTATTCCTTGATGAGTAAAATACTGAAATACAGTATTTGACTACCGATGGTATACCAGTGTGTGCATAATACGCGCGTACAATGAGCTTTGATTTTATTTCACAATACAAAGATGGTACTGTAAGCACACAACACTGGAAGAAGCATGTCAACAAAACTGTACTGAAGTACGCAAGTTAGTCCTGTTATTACACTATCTGGCTATGAGTGTTCATTGTGTACCTGGACTTACATTTGTAATCCATTTTACTACTTGAATCGAAGATTTCATTCAATATTGTTTACATTAATTTCAGCAAAATCGTATACGAACTGATCGGCAAATCACAACTCACCATGAACTTGCCTTGAAACAAAGCACACAAACTCTGCCGCCATGACCATAACACAAGATGTGCAGTAAAGCAGTGTGCATGTAAAGGGAAGTAACTGCACGCTATATTGGATCACATTGTTTTTAAGTATTGTAGCATTTCACTGCCAGGGTCGTGCGTTCGATTTGGAATTTTTAAGGATCTTTTTTCTTTAGAAAATGAAAATATAAACAAAATGTGCGGCAGACTTAATGATTATGTTGGCGGCACCTGAGAACCAAGACTATTATTTTTTAGCCCCAAATTCAAGGCCTTTTCAAAGCAGTCTCCCAAGGCCATGCAAATTTAACATTCAAACACATGTACATTATACTATCCAAAGCTCTTGATAGGTTCACTGTCCAGTTAACACTCTCATCCATTGATGGCAGCAGGGGGGAAGCAGTCCTTCATTGGAAAGCTGCTCTATGGCTACCAACAATAAATAGTTCTCTTTTTGACAAACTGTTTCCTCCAAAACATATTTCAAAAGTGTTTTGGTCTCATTGTGAAAATTTCTTTTCAGATTAGTAACTTGAGTTTATCCATTTTCAAGGCTTTTTCAAAGCAGTATATATTCAAGGACTTTTTAGGACAGATTTAAAACTTTAAGGCCTTTTCAAATCTGTGCGAACCCTGTTCTTCATCAAGAAAAGGAGCATGATATAAACCAATGTCCCCAAGCCATAACACATGGCCTCTATGGACATATACTGTTTTACATCCACAGATGACCCGGAATTCCAGACCTACCTGGCAGATCAAACGTTGAGGCATACTCTTCATTGTCCTCCAAGTCATCCATGGGGTCGAAGGAACTCTCGAACTCATCGCCCGTCAACATGTCCTCATCAGAGCTTGCCTGGCGGGGCTCCAGCACTGGTAGTCTCGTGGTCAGGTTATCCCTGGAGGAGGAGAGAGAGAGTTTTACCTTAGCAAACTCAACTGATCTTTGGCTTCACTTTCAGTAAATCTGAGTCTTAACATATTGACTATTATGATGGCCTGGGCTTATTACACAGGAAGATACTTTGCTAAGCTTGCTTCTCAGACCAGTGGTGCAAGACTCTTCAAGACAAAATGTGGGTTGTATATTGAGTGATGGAATTCATTAAACAACCTGTATGTGGGAGCAACTTACAGTACAAGAAAGTGGAAGATTCAAATTTGTTTATATAACATGAGAATTAGTTGGCAGGGTGTTGTGTGAACTCAACAGGAGTCGATTTTGTCAAATCTATCTCCTAAAGTCTGTTGATAGTTACACACAGAATTAAAAACCTGAAGCTTGTATACAGATGGAAATGAATATGGAGACACTTAGTTTTAGACACAGTAAAATGATATGCTATCATGGGTTCCCAACCTTGTCCACCAGAACGCGTTGGAAACAATGTACACAAACACATCTCAACATTTGATTCTGACATGTGTTGAATTTGTACGGGCGCTACATTTGAAAATGTACTGACAGTAAAGCTTGCATCCCTATCCTTTTCATTGTTACCTCGTTTGCAACATTATATATTCAGAAATTTGTCAGTATATTTTCAAACTGGTTTCAAGTGTTTGCTGTGAGACAGAACTGACATACTTTTCTTTGTGTATGGAGGCTATATGAGCAGAGAGAACACGTGCTTCCTCTATCAGCAGCGTTTCTTCCTCCTCTTCCTCTTCTTTGACCGGTATGGGAGATATTGGCTTGTGGATTGACACAGGTCTTGACTGGAGACACAAAATGTCACAACATGAAACGGAAGGTCATGTGATAAAATGTACATTACAAGAACCCTGCAAAAGAGTTTGGGTCAAATTAACTCAGCACTCAGCGTTACACCATGACGACAGCCTGCATGTAGTCAAGTCTGGACCAGACAAGCCGGTAATGATAAGAGAAGGAACTTTCCACACCTTCGGGATAAAATGACAAGCAAAACACAGTTTGACCATCCAATCGTTATAATTGCCTTGTATGATTGGTTGGTTGCTGTGTTGTTTAACGCCTCACTTTCAGCTATATGACGGCGGTCTGTAAATAATCGAGTCTGGACCAGACAATCCAGTGATTGACATCATGAACATCAATCCACGCAATGGAGATCGATGACATGCATGAACCTAGTAAGTGAGCCTGACCACCAGATCCCGTAGATAAAAGGTAATATTATTTTAACAAAAGTGGGCTGGTTTCGGTTCCAGAACAGTAATCCATAGAATGAAACCTAGCAATGAATATATTATTTTCCTGGTAGCCAAAGCAATATTTTAGAAAATAACACAAGTTTACATGACAAATAGAAATAAAACAAAGAATGAACATCATACTGGTAAAACGGGGTTGATATGTGATACATATTAGTGATGAGAGGTTCCACATGAGGCAGCCATGAGGTGACCTTGATGACTGATCCCAAACATCGGCATGAACCCTGTCTGTTGAGACAACACACATCAATCAGAAGATGTAAATGTATCGTACATGGTTTGTCAGCATGGTACAAGGCATTAGGGGATCTTACCTTAGGGGCCCTGATACTGGCTCGGACAAAGGACAAGCGGTCAGAAGCAGATCTCTCTGCTGACTCTAACGTGTGGATGTCCTCTAGAGTGGCGTTCACCTTCATCAGCTGCTCTCCCAAAATAAATTCTATACACCTGCAAAACAAAATACCGTGAGTGAGTGATTTCAGTTATGCCACTTTGAGCGTAACTCCAGCCATATAATGGCAGGGCAAGCTTGGGCTTCACATAGTACCCATGCAAGGAATGGAACCCAGGCTACTTGGGAATGAGCAAACACTTACCCCTATAACCCAGTACCTATCATATATGGGAGTTAAGGAGTTAGTGAGCTGTTTTAATTTAGGTCATATCCTGGCATGTCAGTTGGATGCTGGAGGTAAACCCACGAAAAATTACTCTTGAAATATGGAGCATTTGTGTATTCAAACTGACTTATCTTAAACCAAACCAAGTATGCATGTTTAGCTGATTTGGTGGTAACTGTGTGAATACTTAGACTAATCCTGCGACCACTCACAGTGTCTGTCGGGGGACCTGATTGAGACTCTCCTGAGCTTGCATCACCTTATTGCTTCTTAACAGACAGGGTGCAAATATGATGGCCAGGCCATTGCACGACATCTTGTTGCTGCCTTCATGCATTGCAACTCTGCAACAGAGAAAACAGTCCATGCACACCACATGTTTCAAACTAACACAACTATAAGTGTCAAATTCTCGTGTTTTTGACTGACAAATATTCTCTGCATCATTTACATGTATGAAACACCAGACAGTTGTGTTCATGAGTATCATGTTGTCCTATTTATAAACAAAACTTGCGTTCAGTTCAGTGAAGCATCTCGAGTGAGTGAGTGAGTATGGTTTTACACCGCTTTTAGCAATATTCCAGCAATATCACGGCGGGGGACACCAGAAATGGGCTTCACACATTGTACCCATGTCGGGAATCGAACCCGGGTCTTCGGCATGACGAGCAAACGCTTTAACCACTAGGCTACCCGACCGCCCCTAGAAGCATCTCGAAATCTTGGGGACCATCAAACATAAATATGGCACATCATTCCAAGTTCAAAACATTATTATCCATAGTTCCGATACAGATTCTCTTGTGATCGCAAAGTCATCTTAAGAATATACATACACTGAGTTAAAAAAGTTTGACTTAACAAAGATTCACTTGAGTTGAAAAAGTGGTACTCTACATCATACTAACAATAAACACAGGAAAGTTACAGACTCCTTACTGGCGAGGAGCATTATTCACATTCATATGTAACAACATAAATAATAAAATAATGAACAATAACAAACAAAATATTATTAGGAGATTTTCTAATGCTGAAGCCTGTTACTCCTACCTGGCTAGATGGAACATGAGCCTCTCACAGAGGTCGTAATTGGCCTTGGGGAGTCTCTCTATCACAGTAAATAATGATTGGATTTTTTCTTTCTCGTCTTTGATCTCTGGTGAAAGGAAAACATTATTAGATAAGAATAACTTCTGGTGCTATGTATACATATATCAAAACGAGAAACACAGGATCTATTTAACCATAAACAGCAAATAGAATTCCATAAAATGAATGAATGAATTTTTATCATATTCAATGTTAAATATTTACTCAAAACATAACCAAGAAGATTTTGTCAAACAAGATAAATAGAATAGAATTTGTATTACATGCAAAAACTTTGGCAGGCCACTTGGAACAAGTGCCAACAGAAAGAAATGTGATGCGACCTGTAAATAATCTGGACCAGACAATCCAGTAATTGATATCATGAGCACAGATCTGTGCTGGCAGGGTATGATGACATGTTGCCAACCATGTCACTAAGTCTGACCATCCATTCCATGATGTCGCCTCTTACAGCCAGCATATTATAAGTTGTAGCAGGATCACGAGGGCTACATGGGGTTTTATGCCCACCGCGTAAGGTTTTATACCACAAGCCGCAAATTGATAGAAAACAGCTGCTTGATTGAGGTTAGCTTGCGCAATGTCACATGACATCCATTGCCTCAGAAAAAGCGTGAGGTATTTGAAGCGGGGTATAAAGGATTTATTCCGTCTCTCAGAAATGATATGCAGCTAGTGCTCGTGGCGGGGTATAAGAGATTTATTCTCCCACTGAGAAATTTATTTTATCAAGATCACATGGACCAATCAGATCACATCATTCTGACATGGAGGTATGATAATCTAACCTATCCTAACCTGGAATCCATGACATATATATATGGACAGTATGTGTATTCTAAGAAGCTACTCATATTACTCTCCATACTAGTAGACCAGTTGTACATACCTGCAGCTCGGATAAAGTCTTCGTAGAGGTCGAAGGTGAGGAGAGGTTCTGGCAGCTCACGGAAAAAGCACTTGAGTGTGGAGGTGAGGACATGGACAGGATACTCCTCAAAGTCTACAGCATCTATATCTGTGGACATCAAGATCAGAGTGGAAACATTCAACAGAGACACTGTATCAGCTGGGGGTCCAATGAGGCCACCTATTCAGGTACTGCACACACACTTCTTGTGGCCACCCAATTCCCGTTGGTAATTTTTATCCAGTCAGCAACATTCCAGCTATGTGACAGAAGCCTGTATATAATCAAGTCTACACCAGACAATCCAGTGATTGATATTGTGAACAACGATCCACGCTTTTAGGGTAGATGACACGCCATCAACAACCCAATCCATCTGGTCACCTCTTACGACCAGCATAAATTGTTGGGGACAATTCTCCCCGGAATACCATTTCTCAAACCCCGACCACTGACAAGAATGGTGTACTCCTGCAGAAACCCCACTTGGGATGAAAGAGAGCATAACTTTAACAACAATAACTTCATAAAGTGGTCTTAGTAAACATACATAAATACAAACATGCTTAAATGTAATCTCTATAAGAATTATCGGTTTGATGACATTTAATTAAATGAAACAAAAGGGTTACTTCCCAAGTTATTCTGAAAGTGACAAAAGACATAAGGATGCTTTCATTCTTCAACTTTTGAAAGAACATTCTTCTTTATCACTACCAAATTTGAAAAACATTCTTCAGGACCCTTTGAATGATATTCACCACACACCATTCCGAGAAAATGAACCGATCAAAAACTCTGCTTCCTCCCTATTCTAACCTACTTGGAGGTTATTTTTTCAATTATTGATAATTGATAACAGACATAACAAGATGAAGAAGAGATGGTTCTTAAATTTCTACTTCAATCCACACTTGTGGAAGCATTGGTCTAAATAAACGCGTCCACTGACCTGCTTCAATAATCTGACGTAGGTGTCGGACTTTAGGCGCTGCTCCGGACTTCCTGTACAAGCCCTCCGTGAACATCCCATGCAGCTCTATCGTCTGTATCAGTCTCTCCGCCACCTTTGGCACCTTCAGACCGTCTGACACCAGCGACTCTAATCCAGCACCAAATGTCTGTGAGGTCACCCTTCCCTGCAACAAGAAAGACAGTGGTAAGAAGATGATTGTCTCCAGCCATGTGCAATATTCCAGCCATATGACGTCTGCCTGTCTATAATTGAGTCTGGACCAGACAATCAAGTGATTGATATATTATGATGCCATGGCACGCCAGATTAACTTTAGCAATTTGAGAGAATCTGGTATTCTTTAACTTCTTTTGAGCAGGATATATTCATCTGTTCAAAACATTCATTTTATGGTCATATTTTTAAAGGCAGAAATAAGCAACAACATCCAAATCACAGCAGCCTGTAAATACTCAAGACTGGATGATTTGTTCTTTGTTGTTTAATTAACACCTCTGTCGGCAACGCTACAGACAATTAGCGGGGAGGTATTATGGTGCAGGTACTAGTGGGCAGGTATTAAGGGGCAGGTACTAGGGGGCAGGTATTAAGGGGCAGGTACTAGGGGCAGGTATTAGGAAACAGGTAGTAAGGGGCAGGTATTAGGGGGCAGATATAGGGGGCAGGTATTAAGGGGCAGGTACTAGGGTGCAGGTACTAAGGGGCAGGTATTAGGAAACAGGTATTAGGGTGCGGGGATTTGGGGGCAGGTATTAGGAAACAGGTTCTGAGGGGCAGGTTTAGGGGGCAGGTATTAAGGGGCAGGTACTAGGGTGCAGGTACTAAGGGGCAGGTATTAGGAAACAGGTACTGAGGGGCAGGTTTAGGGGGCAGGTACTAGGGGGCAGGTACTAAGGGGCAGGTATAAGGAAACAGGTATTAGAGTGCAGGGATTATGGGGCAGGTATTAGGGGGCGGATATTACAGGGCATATGAAGCATGTGTGCTCTCACCTGAGTATCTAGAGCTCCCCGACAGGTCGGCATCGTCTTGGTGCTGCACTTTTTATGACATGTATATTTACACACTGAAAACAAGAAAATTGACAATAAATACAACTACAAGTGCTAATGCAACATTAAATCTAACCCAACGTTCATTGTATTAACATTAATCCATAGATATCTATGATGCTGAGAGTTTCATAAACTTCACTGAAACATGAAATATCACTGGTTCACTAATTCTTTGGTAAATGTTAAATCAGTCATATATGAAAGTGGTAAAAACAGTGATTTGCATTTTTTGCAGGACTGTATTATTTTATCACAGGTTTCACAAAGTGAGTGAGTGAGTCAATTGTGTTTTACCTAGTAGGTTGCCTGTTGGGACAAAAACCCAGACAAACAAGTGGCTGATAGCATGAATTCACACCATCACAGAAAATATGAACACAATCAGTCAGATCACAGCTGAGAGTTTTTCATGCATGTCAAAATTCTTTTGTAGCCACCCAATCCCAAATTCAACAAGCATGGGTTACTGGGGACCTGTGCTGGTCCTAAATCAGATATATATATACAGGGTACTGGAACCTGCCCAAGAATATCTGAGGTGAGTCCTTCCATCCCTCCCTCACTCCCTTCCTCCGTCCGTCCAACCCTCCCTCCCTCCATCCATCAGGGTACCAGGGTACTTGAAATCCACTCTGCCCTAGAAACTACTTAAGGAGAGACAAGTATGTTTTGAGTACAGGGAACCTGTACTGCCCCTGAATCTACACAATGTGGCAGCAAAGGAGTGCAGTGTTCTAGGTACCTTGACAGACTTGTCCCTTCTCCATGATCCAGATGAGGGAGGAACACAGTTCACAGAATGTGGGAATGTTAAACTGAACCTGCAGAAACTTGTGACCGAGATGCTCCTGAAACATACATTCAAAATACTCAAGATCCCTTCATCACTGTTCTACTGTGGGCATGGTGTTACTGGAATTCTTCATACAGCTCAGAAAATTTGTTTGTGTATTTGTTTGTTTGTTTGTTTGTTTGTTTGTTGTTTAACGCCACACTCAGCAATACTCCAGCTATATGACTGCAGTCTGTAAATATTCAAGCCAGACAATCTAGTGATCGACATCATGAGCATCGAACCCCACAACTGGGAAACGATGACATGCATCAACCAAATCAGCGAACCTGATCACACGATCGTGTTAGTCGCCTCTTACGACAAGTATGAGTTGCTGAAGACCTATTCTACCCCGGAAGAAACTGCTGGTGCAGCAGTTAAACCACTCATAAGATGACAATTACGCTGTTTCATATGGATGTCTCTGGTTATGGGTGACTTTAGGGGCTACTTTCACTATAGCCCAATAGTAGTGCACACTACTGCAAAAGTATTGTGACTTGATAATTATTTTATTCAATGTAATAGAAATGAATTAAGTATTGCTGACAATCTCAAAGTTGGCAATTTTCCTCCCTGTCATAACTCAACTCAAAGTAACTCTAATCTGAGCTAGTCCTAATCCTTGATAATCAACAGACAGGAAGGTTTGAAATTCACATAATTTATGTTTTATTTATAACTAACTGCAACTGTTGAAACTTTTAGTAATACTATTGGTATTTCAAAATTTCAATGAATACAGTACTATCAGAGGGCAAACAATTGCAACAGTTTGATAGTTCAAGATATCGTTACACTCCTGGTGTGGTTCTCCACAACTCAACAGTCTCACAATGGGGATGCTGTAACAACATATAGAAGTGAATCTATTCACCAGGGCAGCAGAGAACCACAGACTATTGGTCAAACTGTCCAAGATAATACATCATAAAATTTTAATAACCAAGTTTTCTGAAGACCTGAACTAAACTAGCTATGACTGCTCACTGGCCAAAGTCAAGTCCCTGTTTAACAGCACAACAGCACAACAGCACAACAGTACTCACAACAGCATCCTTCCTCTGTTTATCTTTTTTGGCATTCTTGTTTTCTACTTTCTTCTCCTCCTTCTTCTTCTCTTCTCTCTTCTTCCCTGCATGATTTTTTATGAACTCGTCGAGAAATCCCCGAAATGCATTGATACCCATAGTGACAGGGAATGTGGCGTTAGTCCGCTCATGCTTGACTTCCGCGCTGAGGCTCTGCTCGAAGTTAGACAGCAGGTCACGATACCGTACAGACACAGTATCTTTCTGTAACCATAATCCAATGTATCCTTGTTAGCAATGCACATTTAGAAACTACAAATCATCATTCCTTCTTAAAGAGTAACTAATAGTGTGTAAAAACAAGTTTATTAGTTTGACTTCTTCTTTTCTTTATATTTTCAAGGGGCAATGGGGTAGTCTTGTGGTTAAAGCATTCGCCAGAAATGCCAAAGGCCCCGAGTTTGATTCCCCACATGATTACAATGTGTGAAGCCCATATGTGATCCTCATCATGATACTGCTGGAATATTGCTAAAGTGTGTAAAACCCAACTCACTCATAATTTTAAATAGACATTGTGCAGAATGAGCTTTACTAAAAACCCATACAAGCATACATGTTACAGTGCTTAAGTATTGGGTTATGTGCCAAGTCAATTGATAGCAGCAAAGTTTACCTGGCTTTCTGTTCCAACAATAGCCTTTAAATTTTTTCGGAATTCTTCTATAGCTCCCTGAAATATTTTATCAAAGATTGTCGCCCGCTTGCCCTCATTCTTGAACACTTCTTCATGCTGAAATCAAACATAAAAATCATAACGACCACAATAAGAACAATAAGACATACACATTTTCAGACACAGCATTCAAGTTGATAAAATGTGCACCAATCTTTTTTACTTAGTGTAAAGTTGAAATAATACAAAAATCCATCAATATTTGAATTAACGACTTGCAAAGAAAGAAAATATGAATATAAATATTGTTGGATAAACTGTCCCTACCTTCTTTCCAATGAACTCATCCAGAAACATGAGTTCTTGTAAGTCTGTGATGACGAGCTCCGCTGGGTACTGCCACTGGGACGTCCCCTCCACCTTCCAGTTGCCGCGAGACTGCACCTGTCCTTGCTGACGTCGCTTCTTCTTCCTCTTCTCTCGCTGCCAGCCATGCTGCGACACAATCTGGAAGTCTCTCTCATTGCGCTCCTTCATGGGGGACCTCGGTGACATGGGCGCTGGTGTCGGGTGAGGGGGCAACACTGACACGCCCACTGAAGTACAACATACACAGACATCAGGGAGAAGCATGGCAATATCAACTAAAATGTCCACGAAAATTAGGATACCCAACACTTACAAATATCACTTTCACAGCCCGAACCAGAATACTCAAAACACTTTCGTGGTCGCCGCCAATACGAGGATAGTCATGTTCAAAATACACTCACGAAACTTCTGATTTGTTTGTACTACTACAGCATAAATCCCTGAACCTTGTCGCAATGCAGATTTCCTGTTCTTATTCAACAACATGTCAACACTAAACAGTACTTGAAACCAATGCTAACATCTGAAATTTAGGGGGTTCTCCGATTAAAATACTGTAGCAGCAAACCAAAGGGTACAATGACCCCTATAAATTTCATGTCTAACATGTCTGCCATTTCCTCAGTTGAGTAAACTGCTAGGGATTTGTTAGAAAGCTACATCTTCTTATTGTTTGTTTGTTCGTTTGTAGTTTAAGCCCACAAGCAATTCTCTAATTCTTACATCATTGAAATTCCCTATGTACAAAAAACATTTCCCAATGCTGACAGACCAACAACTGTAAAAATAGACAAATCACAATCAATGCCTATAATCAACTAATCTGCAAATTATGGCTTGAAACTAAACTCAATATGGAACTTATTGGCAATGGTCATCCACAAATTGATTACATCCATTTCAAAATCTAGATCTTGTCTTAAATTTGACAATTATCGGCAACACTTTTTGTTCAAATTGCAACAGTGAAAACTGAAAACATTAAAATTGTACAAAATAACAGTACCAGTAAATATTATTTACCAGACATATTACCGGTATCAACAGTGAGACAACTTAGTTACAGTGGTGCTAACTTGTAATAACTACATTCAATTCTTACCTTTACCATTTGGTGAAAATACTCTATCAAAGACCGATCTGACATAAAGATGGCACATGCTTCAAGCTACGTGTTTGGGTAACAACAGACACTGACCATGAGCTTTCCTGAAGTACACTATGTGTGAATACGATTATCATAATTATGTTGCTGTCCACATGGGGGAAATCACTCATGGATTAACGTCATTAATGGAGTTTCCTACACACTAATCCAATCAGAAACACATCTCTCCTTATATGCTCATCTTCACCAAATCTACTTACGCGAGGGTCCCAACAGTTACAATGTAAACATGTTAGGGATCTCTGCAAATCTACCCATGTCATAAACCCACATTCAGAAACAAAAAATCGTTCCATTCTTTTTTAAAACATAACTCAAAATGTGAAATAATGAACAATAATTTTGTAATTGTTTTCTAGGCTGTGTTCATTCTCTAACTGAGACTACAGGTCCTTATTAAGATTGGTGGTACAACAAGCCCACACATGTAGAACCTCAATCATCTCTTACACACCTAAGACCCATGTTTCTTTAGAACTGGCTGTAAAAAGATATTCAGAAATATCAACCTTAAGAAAAAAACCAGGAAGTGAGGAGGGTAATCTTGAACTTAAACAAAAATAACAATTTCAATGCCAGTGCAATCAGTCATTTAGTCTCATAGGAAGTATGCAAAATAGCATAAGTATGTATCAATGTGCATAAAAAACATATCTACCAAAGGCTGAAATTATATACCTTACACTCTTCAATGCCAAGAATAACTGCCTAGCCATAAATCCCTATAACGGTTGCTGCCTTCTATTACTTATTTTACTGGAATATTGATATAAATGTAGATATGTACTGCCTCCAAATACTAAACTAAATGCACTTCAGCAAAGTTGTCCTCCAGAAACCTAGGAAGATGACAATTACACATTTAACATAAATATTGTACCAATGACTACAAGTTTAGTTTAATGACTGTATTTTCTAAATAATATTTGACAAAACCTACTCCGTGCTGAAAACATGATGAAAGAACAACATGTCTGTTGATATGAACATGAGTCATGCTTCTTATCATGCATATACGTGATGCCAGTTCATGGTCATGTAATTAGCCCTGAATTAACCCTGCGGAGAGTGCTGCTGCTGCTGCTGCCGCCGCTGCTGTTTCTCTGGACCAGGCAGTTGATGGTCCTGCCACGTGATGATATGTTACAAGGACGATTGTTGTTAGTGTTTACAGTGTAAGTAACATGCGTCTACTGCTGACGTTTGGGAGCACAACATGGAGGAAACATGCGTAATTGTTTATGTCACACATATTGTTTAGTATGTATTTTTAGAGGTGTTATTCTCAGTAGTGTTGACCGTCTCATAATGGGTTTGACTAAAGAATTGCTGAACTTGGGCTTCAGGCTAGAGGTCATAAGACCAGTCTTTTGTGTTGATGTTGATGAAGTCATGCATTCAACTCTTGATATGAAAGTGGGACTGAGGGACATATTTATGAAATCACAAACTACTGTTTCCCTTACTTCTTTGAGGCATTTAGAAAGATAAGATATATGGATGAACAATTTCTTTATTACATTTAGGAGCGATGTTTTGGTGCAGGTTCTAATGCCGTTATCAAGCAAGTCAATATTGATGTATCCTTATCATAACTTGCTTCTTGAAGCGGCCATATCAATGAACACTGATGGGATCAGGTTCTCTTTCCACTCTTCCAATGCCCCGTTTTGGAAGCTATCACATGCTATGAAGTGGGGTCCGCATGTCATATTGAAAAAAACAAAAAACTTGAAATCCATGTTAAGTCTGATTTCATTGACCCAGGGTTAGAAATTCAATTTATTTTCACTATTCTGCAAATATGATCTGCAACAAAGCAGCCATCTACCTAATGGTAAAATGTTGTAGTCCACAAGGAAATGTCAATGGCCCTACTTGAATTTTACTAGGACCAGACTAGCAGACTTCTGTTAATTTCGAATCATGACTGATATATCCCCCTACTAGACGTTACTGCTCAATATTCTTTGTGATCAACTCCTACAAGTAACTGTGACTCCAACCAGATTGACTAGTGCATCGCTGAATCGTTTCAGACACACTTGGCATTACAAAATCGAGTCATAACTGTTTGAATTATTTCAACTGATTTGTCTCTTATTTTTTGCGATTTTTCAATAATTATAATGTCTAAATGCGGGCAGGTAACTTTGAAGATGGGCAGGCAAACACTTATTGGTCACCTGCCCAACTGTCTTTTTTGGTTATAAAATTATTTCAAACACTGCACATATGGCATATCAAACCCTTCTGTGTGACAAGCTAACACTTCAACCACTGGCCCCATCAAGCTAACAAAGAAATTGTCCAGGCACTAATCGCTGAGCCCAAGTGTGATCACTTACGATCTTGTGGGCGTTTACTGGGTGAAGTTTTACTGCTGGGTGAGCCGACTTCCTCGGGTTCTTCGTCGCTGTCTGTGTGTCCTCTTTCCTTCTTCTTACCTGGAATACAACGCCAGCATCTTCTACACTCCCACTCACTTGCAAACATTGCTTGACATAGATCATACTTAGACATGTAACTGTCCCCTCCTACCTACTGGTATAGGCCACTACCTGACTAGCTATTGATTCATTTATGAATACTAGAAAATTAACTGTGGCTTTCATGTTTCCATCACAATGAAAATAAAAAGTACTACTTGTCAGACCATGAGTTTTAAATCAGTGTCATCCTTTTCAAATTATTTCTCAAATTATGGCAAACTTGTTGGATCAAGAATTTACTATATATAATAGAATTATGAAAGAAGAAAATGGCAAAAGAATGATATCTGGAATTATCTTATCATTTTTCATTTCAGTGAAATTAATTACGAGATTTCTGATCAACTGATTTTCTGATGTACTAATGAGAAAATGTTAACGTGGCTATGAAATTCAAACATTTGTGCATCTAACAAGTTAATTATTAAGTTATGCATAGTGGTACAGTACTCAGAAAGACAAAACACAATATTCATTTCAAGCCTCATACATATTTAGACAGGAAACCGGTACGCTGTTCGAAGATAGGAGCATACCATTAGCAGTAAGATCTCATTCTCAGATGGAAATTACAACAGAGAGGGTTGCTTGAGGGAATAAATGGGAACGTTCACAGAAAAGAAACCTGAACTATTGATAATTCACATACTTAAGCAAGATACTGTATAGATTAACATAACCATTCTGTATTTGAACAGCAGTTATCCATAGCTTCAGCACCAGAGGTTGGAACATTTGAGACAATCGCTGCAGCCAAGAGTCGGATGAGAGTGGAACACTGTGCATGCCATGTCGAGAGTGTCAGGGTTAGTGAGCATGTGCAGCAAAGTATCACTACTGGACGAGGCCAGACACACGCTTATAACTCACTCTTGTCGCGAAATAGAGTTCGGAACGAATTCCTTGTGTGGCGCATGATAAGGGTAGAGGGACCACAACCTTTGGCGTCTATAAAATCTAGAGATCAACATATTGGCTTACACTGCACACATTAACAATCATGTGAAAAAATGAAGGAGGAACAAGGGTACAAAGAAACATGCTGTAAGTTGTGATCAGCTAAAACATGTCCAAACATCAGTTAGCAAGACGTAATGCTCAACTCAATATCAATCTATCATAAAGTAATCAGACGCACCTGATCTTAACTGAAATTACCTGACCACTTATCCCTCATTTAGACATCAAAAGTAAAAAACGACCTAATTCATCTACAGCTTTTACTACAAAACATGCACTAACATACAGAGGGCAAGATTCACACACAAAACTCGGGATCCAAACACACATCATCCATGCCCAATACACAGCTTAGTTTGTTTAACTGTGAAATGCAGAGAGAAGCACCTACAGACAGTGACAGACAAGATCAACAGGTCGACTCACCTCCCATCATGTTCTTGAATCCTTTCTTTACCCTATGGAATGGGCTGAGATGAGGAGGTCCACCTGCCACATCAGGCTGCAGCCGGTCTCCCTCCGCCTGCTGATGGTCGTGTCTGTCCTTGTGTTTGGACACCACATGTTCGATGGCCTGTATCTTGTCCGGAGACAAGGGGAATGCTGTGGTCAACGTGTCCGAGGGCTGCGTAGGGGACAGTTCCTGATTGGTCAAAAGAAACTTTCAGCAATTCATGTCATTCTTAAATTTCACTATTGATCTGGTATTCTTCCATATATGATACTGTAATAGTATGATCTTTCATTGTTCATTCTTTAATAACGATTACTCTACACCTGAGTGGCGCTGTATCCAATAAAATAGTATACCACTGGTCCACAACAAGAAAATTAACAAAATAATCCAGTGAATCTCCTTGCCTGCTTCTGGTTGCTTACAAAGAAAACTACATCAGAGCTCAACACATGAAATCTGCCAGTGTTAAGCAATTAGTGAATTAGATATATTAGTAGACCAGGGCCCACTTGCACTAAACGATCTTAGCGCTAAGATGATTGTAATTTCCATACTTTAACATAGGCTTATGATAGTCTTAGAGCTGAGATCGCTTTGTGCAAGTAGCCTGGAGTTTATCTGTTAGCACCTAAAACTATGACCTGTCCACAGAGAGGTTCTCTGCTTGTGACCAGTCAACACATAAACAAGACACACAATGTGACCCCGCGGATGATCATATGCCGAATATGTTCCATCAAATTCCCAAAGCAAAACTGTAGCATGTGGCAATAGTATTTCGAAACAGGCATTCCAAATCCTTCCTTCAAAGCTCATATAATGAGACAAATTGGTTTTACCACAACCCAATTGAAAAACAAAATTCCATAAATCCATGCAGATTGCAAATCATTTCATTCAACATGGGAGTATTTGAACATTTTACAAAACTGGAGAAAAGTATTTTTATTGAAATGACTGAAACACAGTATCAGCGTGGATCATGTCTTTTCGCAGGAAACAAAAGCTGTACAAAGGAGACAATTCATTATAGCAAGTTAGTGCTTCAGCTCATGAAGTTGGAAGATTATGGGCAGTTATGTGTATGTCAAGGAATCAAAACTGTTGCTGACACGATGATCAAACTTCATATTCGGTATTCACTGTTTTATATCAGTGAACCGCCTAGTTACGGCATATCACACAAAACCAAATACAATGGACTCCTGTTGTCGGGGACCAAAGCAACCAGAAAATAACTTGTGTCAAACTGATACGTGATAGTGTCGATGACCACATAATGATATAAGTTTATCAAAACTGAAACTGTACACCTATGCTGTATCCATGTTGGTTAACACTTCCTTAAAAACAACACACTGCTAGTGCTAAATGAAGATGAAACATCACATGCAAACTGTACTTGGATATTACCTATCAATACCTGACCTCAGTCAGAGCAATTTCTTTATCTTGCTTTAGAGGAGAAAGACAGCTTGATATTTTGTTCTAGGAGAGGATTCAGTTGAAAAATCACTTACTGCAAACCTCCTATTGCTAGTATTCTAAGTTTTAACATTTACTTCCATACCTGTTTTTGTTTAAAAGAAACAAAAAAATGTTTGGGTCCTTTTTTCCCCAAGAAAACGTTTTTGTGTCCAAATGTTTTCAATGAGCAAAGAAAAAATGATGAAAGTGTGTAGAAGCATGACAAACAGTTGCAGAAGCGAGTGAACGACTGAAAACACAGATGTCACGAGGAACTGTAAACACAGTCAATCATTACACAAATGGTTTGCGATGGTAATTTGGAGAATAATGAAGAAACATGTTTTATGAAGCAGCGTCAGCCTGAAAGAAATTGAAGATTTTTTATAGAAAAGCTGACATAAGGTCATGTAAGGCTTGTGAAATTGAGAAAAAAGCGCATATTCCTCTTGCCGTGCTTTACATTAGAATTTTTACATCCAAATACAACTTTTTACATTTTCAAAACAATAACTTAAAATGGCTTTTTGCACATTTGTTCCACTGATGCATGCATGCACATTAGTTTCACTATGGTGAGTAATAAGTTTAAAGATAACCAATCAGTCTAGTTCACTTCTATCAAAAGTTTAAACCAATACAATCTGTCATCCAAGGTTGCACCACAGTTTTGTATTCCATGACAATACGTGACACAAGCAAAGTGATGTGCCAATAAAAGGGACGGACAGACAGATTTGTTGACAGACAGACAGATTTGTTGACAGACAGACAGACTGACAGGCAGACAGACAGATTGACAGGCAGGCAGAGATGACAAGGTTTGGAAAAAGACCAATGAATGAGGTTTTCTTATCTGGAGAAACATATGAACCCTCTGTCAGTTATGTCCATTATTTACAAGTCAAAGAAACTTTTGATATTTGTAAATCACTTTTGTTTGGTGTCCAAATTTTAAAGATCACAAAGAATAAACATTAAATAATTCTTTAGTCTAATACTGTTTCTACTGTGCTATGAGATAATGCAGAAAATGCGAGCAAACGTAAAACATTTACAGTTAGCCAACTATTTTCGTGAATTTTACTACAAATACAGCATGACTCTTTGTCATAACTGGAAAAAATAAATAATATCATCTGTACAAAGTTAGTAAGAAATTGACATGTCAAGAAATTAAACATTAAAGTCGCTGTCAATACTATACTCTACATACAGGGTCTTCCCAGAAAGAGTAACTCTGCTTATTTGATGCAATCAATTTTAAAGGACTCCCCAAGTAGAACTCTCTGCATAATATGTTGTTACGAAATTGTTCATAACAGCCAAGTACACAGTTACCAGCAACCTTGGATAGAAACCCACAAAATGAACTAACAACTATAACTGTACAATTCCCATTTAGATTTCCAAATGTTCATGCAAGAAACAAAAACATTTCACTCCTGAAGATAGTAGGAATGATTTCCTTCTAACCATGGTAGTCATGGCTGGGAAAACCCTGTGCTAGTCCAGGTAATATACACATTGTCAGTGGTTGTACAGGCATGCCGTTATAAGAATGTTCTCCAGATAAGACCTGTAGTGAAGTGTCCTGCACGAATGCACTATGACTGTCAAACAGGGACACAAAGCTAGCCAGCAGCGGCAACAAACGGGGACGATGCCTCACCATATCGGAGAAAGACTCCTGTTTAGCTAGAGGGGCTGGGCTCTGCTCTTTGGGTTTCCATCTTTGAGATCCTCGGCGGATAAAATACTTCCTGCCGTCATTCTGATTGGCGCAATAAAGGAGTTGCATGGTCAAACAAGAACCCAGTCTCAATGGCTTCAAGTGCAAGTTGTGCTTATCCATGTTACAACATGCATTCCGTTAACAGCTTACTGTGTTCTAAATGCGCTGGACAATCAACTTTGCAAAACGACATTAACATGATCAATTTGGTGTTTACTGCAGAATCATTTCCCATTTACCTTCTTCCTTGCATATGAAAACCGTGTGATGTAAATATCTTGGAAAGGTGAACATCCTGACCAAAATGATCATCTGGATGTCACATACAAAACTGTTGATCTTAAACATTCTCAGTAGTAAACAGCTACAGTTCATAATGTAACAGACTACAAAGATAAGAAATACAGACATTTTGAGAGAAAGTTGTGCAACCACTTTGTGTGTCTGTGTGCTGAGTTACCAGTGCTGTCACGTCATGCAACCCTACATGCTCCATATAATACCACCAGAATAAGGGAGCGCAGAGATGTGTGTGTAGACTCAGGAGTGATTGCACACCAAGAGAAACACGTAGTGCAGCTTGCTGCTTCTGCAGGTGCCACTAAGTTAAGTTCATGCCATACCCTTTTAAAAATAACTTATTTATTTATTTGTTTACCGCACTACAAGTGACTAGCCATTGTGATCACAAGAAAGCAAACAAAATAGAAATAAAGGTTTGTAAATAATTTTCTTTAATTATGATAATTATTTGATATTTTTAAACAAAATCTTATGGAAAACTTACAACTGATTAACCAAACTCAGAAAACATTTGTCAAAATAAGATCATAATATGGGACCTGTTTCAACTGAATGCTGAATCAACACTTATGAATTAATTCTTGATAAACATTTATGGTGGGGGAAAAATAACATACTGACCACATGCGACACAACCCAGAACTACTATACATGGGAGGTTACTCTGGTTCAACTTGGACAAGGGAAGTTACTCTGCTTTCACAATTACAGCATTTAAAACTATATATGTGTATATGTGCTCACAAATAATACAAAAGAAGCAGAGCTTTAAAGTGTTAGCAACAATGACCCCTGCTCACCAAAATCTTACATGTTAAAATGTAATCGAGCCAAAGCAACGTTTTAATTGTTTCTATCCTCAATAACAATCTGAACTTGATTATGTTAGACAGATATTACACCAGTCATCAATAGAATTGGTTTCTCATTGTAGATAGTATTCACAGTAAGATCTTTCCTGATACTTTCCCGCCCACTGTATCCCCGTGCCTATGCCATCTACCAGTGTTTTACTGTTTATGAATTTTAAGTGCAATGGCTTAGCCAACACCAAGACTTACCTCATCTTTACTGGGCGTAGATGGCTGAGACTGGAAGGCCTTAGCCAATTCTTGCACTCTGAAACATACAATATTGTTTAAAAATATTATATATGTTAATACGTTCCATCTTGATGAACTATGACATGCCTGCAAGTGTATCATTTCTGGAACAATAAATGGGAATTTTCACATTACAAATCTTCTCAATGCACTCTCTCAAGATCTTACTGAACTTCGAGCTGCATGGGTCCAGAGTAATGGACCACTCTAGGCTTTTGAGATCTCCAGTATCACAGCCACTACTTCAGTTCCCTAATGAGGTCTCCTGTGCCTCCACCTCTCCTACATTCCAACTGAGGTCTCCTGTGCCTCTACCTCTCCTACAGTCCTACTGAGGTCTCCTGTACCTCCACCTCTCCTACAGTCCTACTGAGGTCTCCTGTGCCTCCACCTCTCCTACAGTCCTACTGAGGTCTCCTGTACCTCCACCTCTCCTACAGTCCAACTGAGGTCTCCTGTGCCTCCACCTCTTCTACAGTCCTACTGAGGTCTCCTGTACCTCCACCTCTCCTACAGTCCTACTGAGGTCTCCTGTACCTCCACCTCTCCTACAGTCCAACTGAGGTCTCCTGTGCCTCCACCTCTCCTACAGTCCTACTGAGGTCTCCTGTACCTCCACCTCACCTACAGTCCAACTGAGGTCTCCTGTACCTCCACCTCTCCTACAGTCCTACTGAGGTCTCCTGTACCTCCACCTCTCCTACAGTCCTACTGAGGTCTCCTGTACCTCCACCTTTCCTACAGTCCTACAGAGATCTCCTGTACCACAACCTCCATTTCAGTCTCCCTACTACAGTCCTACTGAGATCTCCTGTACCACAACCTCCATTTCAGTCTCTGTTGCGCTTACAACATTAATGCACACGTATTTAGTTTGTATGGGCTTCTGAGTTGATGCTGTGTTGATTTTCATGTACTTAAGGAAGTACTTTCTTATGTTAGAGATGTTGAATATTTTGATGTTTTGATGTTTGTTATGTAAAACATGTGGAAAAAAAGGGAAAAAGAAAAGTATGTTTAGGTTGCGTTGTATGGGTGCGACTCGAACCAGTGTTGCGTGCATGTTGACATTCACAACGTCATTAATTAACAGTCAATTAGAGTTATGGTTCTTTGTGAGCAAGCGCGATAACCCTACTTGGCGTGGTGGGCATAAGGCCGGTTTTCTTTGCTGATGAAGGGGAAAATTTGTAAGTTACAGCTGATGTAAATCATTATTGTTGATGACTCATTACAGTTAGCGTTTATTCATACATGTATGTAGCAGATAAGTACGCCTTATTCGGCGCTGTATGGACAGGACGTTAATTTATCATGCTTGTGTCTTCACTGCTTCAGACTTGAATAAACAAGAACCATTTCAAGACCCCTTCGATTTGTTCCTTTACCTCGCCACAATTCAAGTAAATTCCTCGATCTGCAGTCAACCATTGAGGAAAAGGAACAGCTTGAGAGGGCGAGAAGAAACCGGAAAGGAAAACTGACGCTGGCCATGAAAGAACTGATCGACGAGGTGCGACAGGAAGAGACAGACGTGGCTGAACTGCGAAGACTGATGTTAAAGGTTGATCAAAGGATGGAATCTGTGGAAGAGGCTCACGATAGACTGTCTGATGTAATCGAGTCTGACGAGGAATATGCCAAAGAGCAGGGATGGATGGAAAGGGTGACCAGTGACTACAGGGAAACTGTAAGACGGGCAAGAATGTTGTTGAAAGAGACTGATGATTAAAGTTCAAGAAAGCCCAAACGTAATGTTCAAGATCAGAATATAAATGCTGAAAATGATAATGTAATTGTTCACAGTGATGATGAAAGTTGTAATATTGATAATCAAAGTGTATCGGACATTGATGAACAAAATGTAAAAGAAAAGATTGACAATGTTCCCACAGATGTTTGTAGTAATGCAACGAATCCAATGGTTGGAATGATGCAGGCCATGGCTTTGCCTAGGGCACAGGCAAAAAGGTTTGATGGTGATCCTTTGCATTATCATGCATTTGTTGCATCTTATGAAAAAAGTGTAAAATATATCTATGATGATGGTGTAAAACTCAATTTGCTGAGATCATTGTGTGTAGGTAGAGCCCTTGACTGTACAGATCATTGCTTGTTGAAACCCTCAGATGAAGGTTTGCGATCAGCATTGCTCACTCTGAAGGAGAGATTTGGTACAAATGGAGTGGTTGTCCAGGCCTGGGTGAGAAAAGTAACAGTCCGCCGTGCAAGAGTTGAAGTGGGCAAACTGGAAGAATATGCAGATGATTTGGACAATTGTCATCAAGCCCTGAAAGCACTCGGGTATCTGAATGAGATGAACAATCAAGCAACATTGAAGAGTATTGTTGAGAAATTACCAAGATTTCTACAACAGAGGTGGGCTAGAGAGGTTTACAAACTGAGGATGAATGGAAACATGCCAGCCTTGCAGGACTTGACAAGATTTGTCAGAGCAGCTGCTATAGAAGTGAATGATCCTGTATTCGGGATGGTTGATCGTCAACAGACACTGACTCAGACAAGGGAAAACCCTGGTTACCGCAGCAGAGTTCTAATGTTGAGAGGGACATCAAGAAACAAGTGTTGGAACTGTCCTGATGATCATTGGCCTGATGAATGTCCTGTTTTCCAAAATCTAACACCATCTGAGAGGCTTAAGAGAGCAACTGAAAAACGTGTGTGTTTTTCTTGTTTGAAGATAGCTGGTAAAGGTCACAAAGCAACAACATGTACTTGGCGTCAGCAATGCCCAAATTGTGATGCTGTGCATCATAGACTTCTGCATGTTCAGTCAGGACCACATACGCAGCAAGCCTTAGTCTGCAGTGAAAATGAAAATGGAATGTTGCCAGTCATCAGTGTTGAAATTGTGAGGAGGACATGTAACGCCGTATTTGATTCAGGAGCTAGCATCACTCTTATCAGAGAGGAGGTTGCCAAGGATTGCGAATTTGAGAGTCACCCAGTACAAGTGGAGATAGGAACTGTTGGTGGAGAGGTCCATATGCATAACACCAGAGCATACAAAGTTAAATTGAAATCAGAAAACCAGCAGATATTTTCTGTCATTGCAGTAGGGGTTCCAGAGATAACTGAAGTACCAGAAATGAGTTTGAGCCTGAAACAGAAGTTTGAAAAATATCTTGGAGAACCTATACACAGAAGAGGAGGACCTATAGATCTGCTGATTGGTGTGAACAATGCTCGCATGCATGTTGGAGAGATCAGAGAAGCTGATGGATTTGTTGCTCGCAAATCGCCACTCGGTTGGGTTGTTTTTGGATCAAGTGAAGGAGGTGCATCCAACAGTCAAGTTCTCGTTGCACAGCTAGCGAAACCAGTTGACTTGAGTCAGTTCTGGAGTACTGAAGAAATGGGAGTAAGATGCATGGCAATAGAAGAGAGTTCACAAGCTCATGAAATGTGGGATTCATGTCAAAGAGTTGATAATCATTGGGAGGTTACATATCCATGGATAAAGTCACCAGACCAGTTACCTGACAATCGGAATCAGTGCTTCTCTCAGATGAAAGCAGCTGAGTCAAGGTTGAAGAAGAGTGCAGATTCAGCCAAAGTGTACAATGATGCAATACAAGAGTTGGTTGACAGACAATTTGCAAGAAGATTGAATGAAGAAGAGATCCGTGAATACAAGGGTCCAGTGTATTATCTGCCTCATCATGCAGTCATTAGAAAGGAGAGTAAGAGTACACCGATCAGAATAGTCTTCAACTCATCAAGTAAGTACCAAGGAGGCTGCATCAACGACTATTGGGACAAAGGACCAGATTTGCTTCAGAGTCTCGTAGGTGTTACTCTAAGATTTAGACAGTATCAGACAGCCATCGCTGGAGACATCAGTAAGATGTACTATCAAGTGAGGATATCAGAGCGCGATCAACACGTACACAGGTTTCTCTGGCGGAACTTTGAAAGGAGACCTCCTGATACATATGTTCTTCAAGTGGTAACCCCAGGAGACAAGCCTGCACCGGCTTTGGCAATAACTGCTTTGATGAAGACAGCTAAGGAAGCAGAATCAGAACATCCAAAAGCAGCACAAACCTTACTTAAAGATACATACATGGACGACATATGTTCATCAGTACCAACTGATGTGAATGAGAAGGAGTTGAGTGAGGATATTGATGCAGTCCTGGCATCTGGCGGATTCAAGGTTAAAAGTTGGACTTCAAACGGAGGCAAGTTCAAGAATAGCGAGTACAAAGAGAATATCATGTGGACAGAGGAACAGAAGATCCTGGGAGTGGTATGGGATCCAAAGGATGATGTGTTGAAATACAAGGTCAAACAACCTGACTTAAAGGGATCAAACCTGACCAAGAGAATTGTTCTCAGTGAGTTGTCAAAGGTGTATGATCCGATCGGATTTGCTGGAGCATATCTCATCAAAGGAAAGGTTATGATGCAGCAAATATGGTCACGTGGAGTTTCCTGGGATGAGGAACTTGGTGAAAGGGAGACAGTCAGTTGGATCAACTTTTTTTCTGAGCTTAAAGAGCTTCAGGGAGTCAGCTTTGACAGATGTCTCATCCCGGAGCCAACTGCAGAGACACGTCAGTTAGTGACATTTTGTGACGCTTCTGAGAAGGCGTTTGGTGCTGTTTGTTATACCAGATGGATAACGGTTGATGGAACTGTTGGTGTAAGATTTGTTGCAGCAAAGGCAAGAGTTGCGCCTTTGAAAGCCTTGACACTGCCAAGACTTGAGTTACAAGCAGCTGTGTTAGCATCTCGACTCGCGACAACTGTAAAGCAGGAAATGACAGTATCCTTTGATCAAGTGTTTTTCTTGTCTGACAGCGTTATTGTCTTGAGCTGGATAAGAGGTCAGTCACGTCAGTGGAAGTCATTTGTCGCCAACAGAGTTGCTGAAATTCAGAGCCAAAGTGATCCTACTGATTGGTTTCACATTCCAGGTGAATACAATGTAGCAGACAAAGTGTCACGGGGTGTGCCAATTGGTGATTTGACAGGGGATTGGAGAGATGGCCCGATATTCCTACAGATGCCCCAAGAGCAATGGCCAAAGTCAAATCCCAAAGCTGATTGCGATGAAGTTGGAAAAGAATGTAAGAGAGAGAAAACAGTATTGATAGTTTCAGAGACTGAACGAGTGTTTGATGCAAGAAAGTTCTCAAAGTGGAGAAGACTGATTAGAGTTACATCTTATTTGCAGAGATTCATCAACAACTGCAGAAGAAAGGAGCCAGCCATTACCGGTCCACTTACAGTTGAGGAACTATCTGCATCTGAGAAATATTGGATCCTCCAAGCTCAAACGGAGCTCAAGTCACTTGACACTTACAAAACTCTAAGTCCTTTTGTTGAAGATCAGATTGTTTATGTTGGTGGAAGGACCAACAATCAGAGGCTGTCATATGATACAGCTTACCCAGCACTCTTGCCACAAAGTCATCATATTTCATACCTGATTGCAAAACATGTTCACGAGACAGGTCATTATGGTGTTGCCTCGACAGCAGCCAGGGTGAGGAGGTGATACTGGATCATTGGAGTAACAAAGTTGGTGAAGAAAATCAAGCATAGATGTGCAAGATGCAGAGCCTTTGAACATAAACTTGAGCAACAATGGATGAGTGATTTGCCCATGGAAAGAGTGAAACCCTTTTCACCACCTTTCTTTTACACTGCAGTGGATTATTTTGGACCGATTGATGTTAAAGTTGGCCGAAACAAGACAACAAAACACTATGGCGTCATCTTCACTTGTTTAAACACAAGAGCGGTGCATTTGGAACTGGCAGTTGACTGTTCTACTCAGGAGTTTCTGCAAGTGTTGAGAAGGTTCTTTGCAGTCAGAGGCTATCCATGTCAAATACAAAGTGACAACGGTACACAGTTTGTTGGTACTCAGAGACAGCTAAGACAGATGATTCAAGGTTGGGGCAAGGACGAGCTGAAGGAATACTGTGCTGAGAAACAGGTACACTGGAAGTTTGTAACACCATTAGCACCTCATCAGAATGGATGTGCAGAAGCTTTAGTGAAGAGCTGCAAACAAGGCCTGAAGAAGGCTGTAGGATCTCAGCTTCTAACACCATTTGAGTTGTACACGTGTTTGCAGGAGGTGGCTAATCTTGTCAACCAAAGACCTATTGGAAGAATTCCCAATGACCCAGATGACGGATCATATGTATGTCCAAATGATCTTCTTTTAGGACGTGCTACAAGTAGAGTTCCACAAGGTCCCTTTCAAGAAACAAGGAATCCACACCACAGGTTTGAGTTTGTTCAGAGAATGGCTGATGTTTTCTGGAAGAGATGGATCAGGGATGTCTTTCCAACGCTTGTTCCAAGGAAGAAGTGGAATGTACACAGAAGAAATGTGAGCGTCAATGACGTTGTAGTTATGGCTGATCCTAATGCAGTTCGTGGACAGTGGAAGTTGGGAAGGATTGTGGAAGTGTACCCAGGGGCAGATGGACGAGTCCGAAATGTCAAAGTTAGGACAGTCAAAGGAGAGTTCCAAAGACCAGTCACAAAGATTGCCGTGTTGTATCCATCTGAGGGTTTTGACGAGGAATGATTAATGTGCATTTTGATGCGAATCCTTCGCATGGTTGGGAGAGTGTTGCGCTTACAACATTAATGCACACGTATTTAGTTTGTATGGGCTTCTGAGTTGATGCTGTGTTGATTTTCATGTACTTAAGGAAGTACTTTCTTATGTTAGAGATGTTGAATATTTTGATGTTTGTTATGCATGTAAAACATGTGGAAAAAAAGGGAAAAAGAAAAGTATGTTTAGGTTGCGTTGTATGGGTGCGACTCGAACCAGTGTTGCGTGCATGTTGACATTCACAACGTCATTAATTAACAGTCAATTAGAGTTATGGTTCTTTGTGAGCAAGCGCGATAACCCTACTTGGCGTGGTGGGCATAAGGCCGGTTTTCTTTGCTGATGAAGGGGAAAATTTGTAAGTTACAGCTGATGTAAATCATTATTGTTGATGACTCATTACAGTTAGCGTTTATTCATACATGTATGTAGCAGATAAGTACGCCTTATTCGGCGCTGTATGGACAGGACGTTAATTTATCATGCTTGTGTCTTCACTGCTTCAGACTTGAATAAACAAGAACCATTTCAAGACCCCTTCGATTTGTTCCTTTACCTCGCCAGTCTCCCTACTACAGTCCTACTGAGATCTCCTGTACCACAACCTCCCCAATAGTCCTACTGAGATCTCCTGTACCACAACCTCCCCAACAGTCCTACTGAGATCTCCTGTACCACAACCTCCCCAACAGTCCTACTGAGATCTCCAGTACCACAACCTCCATTTCGGTCTCCCTACCTCCCAGGGCTCCTGGTATGTTCCCAGCTATCATCTTTATTTTCTCCCAAGTCGCGAGTTATAAACACTGACCCTGACCCAGAACTGGTAGGGGTGATAGGAGGTGATGTCCCTGACACGACTCGGCTCTTGGGCTCAGATGTCGTCTCGGACTCCGAGTCTTCCAGGATACCACTGCTCCTGGTAACACACAAAACATGCACTTGACAAAAGGGAATACAGTAAATCGTGAAATTAATGCGTCTTCAAAAGAATGCGACCGCTGGCCCCTAGCCAAAAATGCTGCTCAATATGAATGCGACATCCCCCTCCTCTCAAGCATCAGTGGATTTAATTCTAAAGAAAATGTCAGGTTTACAGGAGAACCTTACATTAATCCAATCACACACCAAATAGCACCGCTTATTAGCGCTAAGTAGAGTACTTCCGCTAAAACAATACATGCACGCTGGCTCGTGTTGGCCTTTGACGCTGTCGCAAAGAACAAAGACACCGTTTTGCGTGGGTGGCATCTGTCTGGACTTGCAGGTGTGATCAGTGATGACATAAATGTGTAGAACTCTTGTCTTGATCCCAACAGTGACAATACACAGGATGTAAATAGTGTTTGACTGACTTTGTTTATATACTTCTCACAAGTGCTGCTCAATAAACAGTGATGTGGAATACATAGTTGTTTGTTTTCAGCGTATGTCTAAGTTGGTATTTCTGCTATCCAAAATGTCTTATTGTTGATATAAATGCGATATTTAATATGCAAGCAAAGACCACTTGCATTTTTCGCATTTAATTCAAGCTTGAGTTAATTTCAAGATTTACAGTGATCAACAAATTCTCATAAGAAACATCTGTGTTTATCACAGTCATTTGCAAACAAACTCTTTAACAATCACTAATCAGTACCAAATATATCAGTACCAAATAGACAAAGTCAAATCTTTTTTTCAACACAAATGAAGAGGTATCTTACAAAACAAATGATTTCTATCGTTGTTTTCACACCAACCCAAAAAGGTATGTGTCTTACACCAGCCAGCAATATTACATCTATATCACTGTCAGTAAATGATTCGGGACCAGTGGTTGATAGCATGATCAATAAAACATGTCCATGATACCACATGATTAGCAAAGTTAAAACATTGTGATCATTCGCTCCTCACTTTATTCAGTTCATATTTCAAAAGTCTAAACAGTGATCTTATTACGGAGTGACTCTTGGAGGTCAAGGTCAATGTCAGTGAATGGAAGTTACGATCATCTTAGAGCTTTGACTGTCATAAGTCAATGCTAACATTTTGCTTGTTTGTTGTTTGTTTGCTGTTTAACGCCGCTCTAAGCAATAATCAAGTGATATTATGCGGTCTGATGATAATCGACATCACAAGCATCAATGACATGCATCAACCAAGTCAATGCTAAAGTATAGGGGTAACAATTGTCATAGCACTAAGATAGCTCTGAGGAATGAGGCCCTGGACTTTAATCCAACTAATAGAACTGAACAACCAACAGTGGAGTATGTACTCACTCCTCTGAGTCTCTCCTGTGTAAAGCTTCACATTCCCGTTCCAACAACTCCTCTGCACTGGAGCCTTTCAGCAGCACGCCTTCATCGCTGGTGGACGACTGCAAGTCCTCCAGTTTCTGCCGCACTTGCTCTTCTTCTGCCTTCCGTTTGATGTCACGGTTGACCAACATTTGGTGATGTCTGCAGGCAAAACGTAACTACTAGTTAACAAAGTAATAAATCATGGAATAGTTCCGGTAAAATAATTCTTTACTACAAAACACATGGGGGGTAGAACAAACTTTATTTCTTAAATATATCATGGATAATTGCTCCTTAACAAAAATGTATCATGAATAATTGCTTGTTAGCAAAGTAACATATCAGTGTTCTGCCGAGGGTCAGACAGACAGACATACATACATGTGATCTTTCAACCCAGTGTGATCCCGCAAAGCAATTTTACCTTTTACGAGCTAGGAAGCCTCGGACTGATGTTTGTATACAAATCACGTTTTTCCGATATTCCTGGTACCACCTTCTGACATGGTTACCCCGGTACCATCTTTGAATAGCTATAGCAGCATCATACTCCAAACGGAGACTAGAGAGAGTTCTCTGGGCAATCCATCGTCTTGTACATTTCTGAAAACAGTATCCAGTATGTTATTATGTACTGTCCTGAGGGAAACATTATGTGCAGTAAAGCAAATACTTCCTTTTCATCAGTGCATCTGTTCAGCAGAAGTTAAGGTTATCATATTGGTACTGATCGGTCCTGATGAGGCTAGAGAAGGCCTGTAGTGTGGTCAGGTGAAATCAGTGAGTGAGTGAGTTGGGTTTAACGCCGCTTTTAACAGCATTCCAGTTATATCGCGGCGTGTCAGCTTAAAGTGGGAGGAAAGCCCGAAGTGATGCAGGTCTCAGACGTTTACCACTTTGGTGAAACCCACGAGCACGGGTATGGTGCTAACAAACCTAGAAACATAATCGGGGTGAACTGGGATTCGAACCCACAATCATAGGTTTCTGGCGTGCCCAAGGGATGCAACTCTGCACAGCGTATCGCAGCGCCTTAGACGACTGGGCCACCCGTGCCCCCTAAGTTTTATAGTGTTAGCCCACTGAGATACCATGCAGCAGGCTCTTTTTATCCCCTTAATACCAAGAATCAGGCAGGGTAACAACAATTACAATCTGCCAACATCTTTTAGGATGACATAGCCAGGGATAGCTCACCTGGCAGATACTAGACTAGACAACGAGGTGGTTCAAGTTCAAAAGAAGGGAGCCAAAGGATGCAATTGTTTTACCTGTGCCAGGACCACTGCTGTTCGTAACTTGGTGTAGTTTTGTCTCTCCAAGATGGTCTTTGCCCACCGCTGGATCTTGATGACACGCTCCATGATGGCACGATGAAGTGCTTCATCCAACATCAGCTTCTCACTCTCACGTAAAAACACCTGGAGGATAATATTCGAGCATGTAAAATTCAAAAGGTTGAAACCAAGAGCAACAATCCATGCTGTAAAGGTGTGATGGCACACAACCAGCCATGTCACACCCAATCTTCACTTAATCACCTCTTCCAACAGTAACACAACACTGCAACACTTTAAACACTATACATAGCTGCACAACTCAACTATTTAGCTTTAAAGGAGGACTAGGCTCAGGCAAAATGACAGTCCCAACAAATTGGACACAAATCGTTCCAACACCAGTTTGACTGATAACTTATATTTTATTATATAAATCAAACTATCTGTTATTGATTAGCCTAATTGCATACAGACATCTCCATTGATGTCTCACAGGCATGAGTTAAAATGCCTGGACATGACTGAAACTAGACAACACTGCGGAACACAGTCCCTCATGTACCTTTGTCTTGCCAATCTGGTAGTTGTCCCTGTTGAGATCCATGGATTCCAGGAATATCTTGACATCCTCCTGGGAGCTGAGGAGTCCTTTAGGCAGCAGGATCTTGTACAGATGGATGAACTCCTACAACCATAAGGTGTCGCACCATTTTATCTCAGCTTGTTATGACATACAGGGCTACAGATAAGCAGCATATTTGGGTAAAATATCCCTGAAAAATTACCCAATTACTATCAGAAACTTGCATACAGAAATGCATATACTAAATGAAAAACCTAATTGTTTAAAAACATCACGCATAATTGCACAATGAAGCTTTTTCAGCATGCATACAACAGAGCTAATTTCTAAAACACAATTACGAGCTAATTTACTTTCCGAGTCAAGCCTATATATTTAGAACAGTTATATACTAAAAAAATAAGTTTTAGTTATGGTCATGGCGGCAATAGGAGTTAGTGTGCTTGTTTATGTAGGGTGGTCCTTTCTCAGGTTGAAGGCGCACAACTGTTTATTTGGTTACATACTAGTTTGAACAAGCAAAAAACTTCTAAATGCCGACAAAGGCTCTCATTTACTGTTAACATAAGATAATGTGATATGCTCTGTTGTTTACTTGTGCGCAGTAGTAAATTGTTGTAGCATACCTCAAATGTGAGCCTGTAGTTGTAGCCGGACTGCCGTATCTTCACCGTGGCCAGCATACCGGTATACCGCAACTGTCTCAGTACTATTTCATCATCAAATACACATGGAGCCTGGGAAAATGATAATTCATTATTACATTAAACAACCACATGGTCATATCAAGCTGCTAGGCAACTACTGAATGAATACACAAATGTAATAAGTTTGTTTTCCGTTAACTGCACACTCATCAATATTCCAGCAACATAACAACAGTGTCTAAGTAATCAAATTTGGACCATACAATCCAGTGATTGACATTATGAACAAAGATCCGAGGTACAATGATATGCAATCAACATAAGCATCATTCACCGCACCTGACAACCCGAGCCACTGTGTGACCTCTTACGACCAACATAGGTTGTTGAGGACATATGTCTGACACAGAATCATCACAAGCACAAGAGTAATAAATAACCTTGAATACTCATAATATAGACCAAAACTGTTCAAATGATTATTATTAAATATCTCAGTTAGATATTATACATAGAAACACTACTAAATCTGATCTGTCAGGCCCATAGGGCACACAAAAAGTAGGCCCACCCTGACAGACTTGGAATACACCTTACTAGAGCTACGTCTCTCTTGATAAAACACATTAAACATTCTTATTTAAAAACAAATTGAGTGGGATTATCAGAGCAGGGTACCACTGGTCAAATCCAACAGTCCACAGCTTATTTCAGACTACTGATCTATGTAAAATAACTAGATGTTGGTAGAAAACATTTTCACTAATCTCAGACCAACAGACTAGTGTCCGTGTCTATCATCAGTGGTATGTCTAATACTGGTGCATAGTTTACCTTGTCAGCATTGGACTTGATGCAGCGGATGAAGAAAGGGTTTGCCTTGTTGAGAGTATGCATCAGTCTGGACAGGGACCACTGGAAGGAAGCAGGATATCATGCAGGCTCACATATAGTCAAAGCATCAGCCGAGCAACATTCTGTCTGCTCAAGCAGGCTCAGCTAATAATTGTCCTTCTAATGTAAAGTATGCTAGGACCCAAGTTCGTTCCAGTAGGGTGAAAACTTTTCGGTAGCCACTGTTATGGTCAACAGTGAACTTTCAATCACTACATGAAGATACGAGCATTTCTATAAAGCCACGATAATTCTCAATTCAATATGACTTTTGTGGTGAGGAGGCACTTACCTGGAACTGGGCGCCAACTGTGGGCGGCTGTTTCTTGGAGCCTACACGGCTGCCACCGAAGGAAATCATTGTTCTGCTGGCTATGGCTTTCAATGTCTTGATATCACGGAAACTCTGAAATATGACAAAATATGACTGCCGGTGGAATGATAAAGAAAAGGATACTACAATATCAGATGACAAAGGGATATCAAAAGTTTCTAAGCCTCTAATACAAAAATCATCATTTTAACTAAACTTACCAGAGAGGGTCTTGGTTTAGGTTTGAATGATCTGCTTTTCCTGAAATTAGCACAAGTCGTGTCATGTTCACTTTATCAATATACTAAAAATGCAATATTCAAAAAGTTGTTTTGTGTAGACAGGTGGCTTGAAGACAAGGCCAAGATCTATACAATAATACAAAGCACATTTTCACTTTTAGTGCATCTATACATTTATCACATCTACAAAAAATCTTTAGCTTCTACATGTGCATGAACATTTGGTAAATCAAAGGTAATTACAAATAAAATCAAAACAAAAAGGTACGAGGCAGATTTTAGAGATTCACTGATAGCACACATGACAAAAATAAAAACATGTTAGATTGCAATGCTATTTGCTTGAAAACTGCCTTGAGTGTAATCTACCCTCAGTCATATCTGATACAAAAGACCAACATACATAATGATTTTTGTAGCTTTACGGATGACGCGAGTGTCTGCAGCGGACATATGGGACGCCAATATTTTCTCCTCGTGCATAAAGTCACCATGCTGCCTGATAAACACACTGTCATCGTCGCTAAAACACTCGTCAACAGTGGATGGGCATGCATTCGACTGGCTATCATGCGGACTAGATTGTGAGCGTTGTTCATCCGGCGGATGACTAGATAAACAAAACAGCAAAATAAAAAAGTAAGCACAAAAAATAATGGGCACAATCTGTACAGAAGCTAGTAACAAAACTGGTTCCATTGAATACATTCTACACTGAGGCATGCATGTTCCGAGTTTTGCAGCCAGTCTGGGGACATATTTTTTGGTATGGGCATAAAGTAATTATAGTATACATTATGTTGTAAACAGTTCAAATTATTTTTAATCGCTATCAGCAGAAACCAGTTTTATTGGGCACATTGACTCTTACTTCTCGATACCCCTTGGTAATATTAGCATAAGCTTTTCAAGGGCGGATCCAGCATTTTTAAAAGGGAGGGGTCCAAAATATCAAAATCCTTCCTCAGTTGATTTTACTGCCTACAACATTCATTTGGTTTTCAGAAGGGGAATCCAGACCCCCTGGACTCCCTCTGGATCCGCCTATGTTTGTGACTGTAAGGGTTATGGAGAGAGTAAGGTCAATAGAGCTGCAGCAACTACAGTGTCAAAATGTCACAAAACAAGCAAACACATGAGCACATCGAGGAGTATTCTCTGTCCTGGTGAGTTGGACAAACATGGGAGTTCCAGGTTCATTCTGTCATTTCAACATCTACTCAACGACGACATGTGTATAATGCACTGCGGTATCACTGAATTTTCTTGCTAAACTTAAAGCGCATCAGACTAGTTTGAGTCAACTGATGGAGGGGTGATTGAATGATGTTTAACACCGCAGTCGGCAACATTCAGTTACATCTGAGCCACATTCAGAGTGTGACTATGCCCAGAACAGTAGACTGGTCAACAGAGTGATCCACACCATAGGGAAACACAAGTGGAAAGTTGGTCATCACTGGTTGTCTCTGGTCACTTGATTCTCAGCAGGTAAGCCTGGCAAGTAAGCCTCATTTTAGCATCCAGGGCTCGATTAAGGCACTTGATTTAACTTGCACCTGGTGCATGTTGACATGAAAACGTAGTTCCACCAGACGACTAGTTGCACCTGGTCCTATAAATGTACCCAAGATACAAAGTCGCATAAACTAGTCTAAACAAGTACAATCCCCGATCCCTGATGACTGTGTCACGGGTCATGAACTACACATAACACAGATATTAGTGATGCAGTATGATAACCAAGGCAAAAAGTGAGCATACCCCTAACCTCAACATATTTCTTAGTTCAAAAGCAATATTTTCTCAGAAAATAGACTTATCGAAATCAAACTTAGCACTGCACCTCTCCTTTTAGTATAGAAACTGTACCTCCAATTGGAAAAGAATCCATGACGTAGTTTTCATATTTTAGGTCATACAAATGTTGAATAAAAAAAAAAGAATTTTAATTTCAAAACATGTAAAACTTCATATTTTCTCAGAAAAATATAAGGTTGCATTTTCCAATAATAGGTTGTACTGGTGCATGTTTTATATAGCTAAATTGAGCCCTGTCATCCTATTACAACATCCTGTTCTATTGTATTTCCAGGAACATCAAGAAGATAACTGATTCTGGGTTAGAAACAATTTTATATTTGCACTCGTCCACAAAAATGATCTGCCACAGAGTTGCCATCTGTCTAATGGTAAGGAAGCCCACAAGGAAACTGGTCCTTTCTTAATTGTACTCGTCTGGGACTCACAGACTTTTGCTAAATTGAAACCCTGTGAATGGTGCTAGACATCTAAAGTGACCTGGTATTGATATTTGTGGTGTTTTCAGGTCAAGTGGTTACCACACAGCCATAGTGTTGTGAGTGAACAGACATGCACACATGATCATTAGCTGTTTTTGCTACATCATTGTCAGTGAAACTACATCATGGTGCTCTGTCAATGTCAAGTTGTGGTACTCATGTTTCAATCTACCATTAATTTTAATAGACCGTAAGAATTTCACAAGACAAAATAAAAAGGTTCAAGAATCATTAGTACAAAATGACTCAAAGGCTAAGTAAATTTCCTGAAATGTCTACCATGAACCAAACTGGCAATTTGTTAATGATTTTACATCCACTTAACAAATTCATACCAAACATTACAATACTCTACTATTGCGAAAACAATGAAGACTTTGTTAATCAAACAATATGTGTCGCAATCTCTTCTCAATGTCCAAATGACATTGCATAAACGCTAAAATTAAAAACCATCACCTTTTATCATTTACCCTTACATTGACTGTCATGCACAAAAATAAATCGAATTACACTTATCACTTGGTTTAGTAAGAAAACTTCATGCAAACTCAACCCTGACTTAACTTAGAATTGATTAAAATGCCACACATTTGGCCTGATTATCATGCGAGTAAGTGGAACGCCTACATGAATTAGTAACCAACTGTCACACAGCTCCAGAACACACTGCCGACAGCTGGGCAGGAACTTGTCAGAGTTCAATCACAGCAATACCAGTTCATGTCTCCCCTTCTTTTTTTTATCTTGAACATTGTTGGAAGTTACCCTCATTTGGGCAACTTAAGTTTGTACTTATCAAGAAAATCAAAGTATACCCCCCTCCCCTTTCTACAACAGAGCTCCTTGCCTTTCTTTGTCAACAGAGATCCCTCCCCTTTCTACAACAGAGCTCCTTGCCTTTCTTTGTCAACAGAGATCCCTCCCCTTTCTACAACAGAGCTCCTTGCCTTTCTTTGTCAACAGAGATCCCTCCCCTTTCTACAACAGAGCTCCTGCCCTTTCTGTGACAACAGAGATCCCTCCCCTTTCTACAACAGAGCTCCTTGCCTTTCTTTGTCAACAGAGATCCCTCCCCTTTCTACAACAGAGCTCCTTGCCTTTCTTTGTCAACAGAGATCCCTCCCCTTTCTACAACAGAGCTCCTTGCCTTTCTTTGTCAACAGAGATCCCTCCCCTTTCTACAACAGAGCTCCCTGTCCTTTCTGTGACAAGAGGAATACCTTTCCCTTTCTGTGATAACAGGGACCACGCCCCGTTCTGTGGTATAACAGCTCCTTTCCCTTTCTGTAGCAACATGAGATTTGCCCCTCCCACTTCTGTGACTATGAAATCCCCAATCCCCTGTCTGTGCATACTTGAAATCTCCACCCCCTCCTGTGACATGAGATCTCCCTCCCCTCTTGTGACATGAGATCTCCACCCCCTCCTGTGACATGGGATCTCCACCCCTCCTGTGACAACATGAGATCCCCACCCCCTCCTGTCACAACATGAGATCTCCACCCCCTCCTGTGACGACATGAGATCTCCACCCCCTCCTGTGACGACATGAGATCTCCAACCCCTCCTGTGACGACATGAGATCCTCCTCCCCCGGTCCATGACATGAGATCCCCACCCCCTCCTGTGACGACATGAGATCCCCACCCCCTCTTGTGACGACATGAGATCTCCACCCCCTCCTGTGACGACATGAGATCTCCACCCCCTCCTGTGACGACATGAGATCTCCACCCCCTCCTGTGACGACATGAGATCTCCACCCCCTCCTGTGACGACATGAGATCTCCACCCCCTCCTGTGACGACATGAGATCCCCACCCCCTCCTGTGACGACATGAGATCCCCACCCCCTCCTGTGACGACATGAGATCCTCCTCCCCCTCCTGTGACGACATGAGATCCTCCTCCCCCGGTCCATGACATGAGACCTCCTCCCCCTCCTGTGACGACATGAGATCCCCACCCCCTCCTGTGACGACATGAGATCTCCACCCCCTCCTGTGACGACATGAGATCTCCACCCCCTCCTGTGACGACATGAGATCCCCACCCCCTCTTGTGACGACATGAGATCCCCACACCCTGTTGTGACGACATGAGATCCTCCTCCCCCGGTCCATGACATGAGATCCCCTATCCCGTCTCTGACAAGATCCCCCTGTGACTCAGCTTGGCAGTGCGTTCCTCCCAGCCAGGACTTACTGTATCTTATGTAGCACTCGCATAGTGTGAGCCACATGGTAAAATCTTTAAGCAAATAGAAAGAAACAGTAGAAGGTCATAAATTATTCTTAGCTTCTGTCAAACAGTATTTGCTATTAAAATATCAAATGACAAAACTATTACTTTCTAGGACTGTCTTGAATGTTTTAGACTCAACATATTGACTATATTATTCTTTATTACATTTTTTTCTTGTTTGAAACAATTGTACAAAAACAAACCTGTAACGGAAATACTCTATTAATGTTTAGCGAATGAAAATATGATGGGTTGCAAGATGTTAACACTAATTTCGATGAGCATGACAATGAGTAATTGATGATGGCTATTCTACAAGATGTCAGCTAATCCTACCCCTCTTCCCCTTTTTTCTTAACAATGGATCCTTCCATCAGCTCATTCCGGGAGAGTCCACATAATCTAAGGGACGAGAGCATGAAATGGACATGTAAAAGATGTCTACAGACAGAATAGTCTCATGCAAAGCTAGCGGAGGCTACACTACTTCAAGTGAGATATTTCAAGTGTGGTGTATATCACTGGCTCACGAAGAACGACAGCAGTGCGCCTGCCACTCATCCCAACACATATGATAATACATCAGACTTCACATACACTGTATATAATGTCGTCACCCACACAGTTACGGGGACAGCTAACTGATGCTGTCAATCATATATGTGAACAAAGAGAATGTAAACAGAAAGACTACATTCTGTGTCAGAGATCCAATTCTTGCAAGCATGGTAAGCATTGCCCAAAACATTCCTATGAATAGAAGTAAATGTAAACTGCTGGCAGACTGTTTGAATGAAATAGGTGAAATATTTCTGCACATAAGCAGTGTTCGAAATACCTGCCTGCCCGTCCGTCCGAGACGGGTTGATTTCAACTCGGGCTGCCAGATTTTCAAATCCCCCTGCCCGACGGTCGGGTTATATTTCATATGTAAAAATATTCTAAATATTTCTGGATGATAAGCATTATTTACATGATGTATTCTAGGATATTAAATACAAATCTAACCTAAAAAGTGTTTGCTATTTCTTTTCTTGCATTACTTCATGTTCAATGAATTCGATTTAAAGTTTTAATTAAATTATCCTGAGAAACATATGATTATATTGGGCAGGCAGGTTTTGGTCAGGGCTGGCAAGTATTTCAGCTAGCCAGTCCTGTGGTCTGGCTGAAATTTTTTGGAGTTTCATACCCTGACATAAGGTGTTTGAGCCATGCTATTATTTTACATTCTTTAAAATGAACCTCAAGAAGAACTAGTGATCATGAATAAATTCATGCTCCAAGATACAATACATCAATATTTAAATATTTTAATTATTTTTTGGTAAAAAGTACAACCATTACCTTCTAAAACACCAAAACATTTTTTTCTTTCTCATTTACATTTCTTGTTGCTTAGGAACTAATAAACTTTGCAGCATACATATGCATATTTCAAAGATATATTCCTGTGTTATATATAACAGAAACAACTAGTGACTACATAGACATGTAAACATGACACATACAAGAGAGTAGACTGGTGTCTTGGGTTTGCGTGTCAATACATCAGGACTATTGGATGTGAGATGACAAGAATGTGAACTGTCTAGTAATACACAATGCATCAACATCGTTGTATTAACACCCTTTAACCTTACCTTAACAGGTTCTCACCAATACTGGTTTCAAGTTGAGAGTCAGATAATCTCTTCTTCAATTTTTTCTTTTCAGGTCCTGGGAATAAAAAACATCTTCCTTCTAAGAAAACAAATGCACTCATTAGACCATGTTCCATTACTGTATCATATCATATGTGTATAAATTAATAATGATGTCATTATCAGGATTTTAACTTCCAGGATGGCAATAATTTTCTAAAACCTTTTGTTGTTTACTGCAGCACTCAGCAATTAAGCAATATTTTGAGTGAGTGAGTGAGTACAAGCATTATTCAGAGATACATGTATAAATACATGATCATCTTCCCTAGGCAAGGCAGTCTACAGTTTCCACCCTTGCTGAACTAGGCTGGAATTTCTGGGTTCAATTATAGCGCCACCAGTGGCTATTACGAGTTATTCACTTCTTTGTCCCTCCTATTGACCAATCAGATTCCACCTCTGATATCACTTGTATTTGCTTCCAACAAAATGGTGACGCCCCGTCAAGACGATCTGATCAATAACCAAAATCTATATTGTAATTAAAATGGTCTTACTTCATCAAATCATGTGACTACCTTGATAAAAAAACATAAAAAGATTTGGACTTGCAAATCCTGCAATCGACCGAAATCTGCACAGCAGTTTATGAACCGGATGTCGATTTCATTACAGGATTTTGATTGGACTATGCATCGACTCGTTAGTCCAGGGTAAATATAACTCCATAATTCCAGCCAAGTTCGGCAAGGGTGGAAACTGGACTTTTAAAGTCAGTTAACTCCCTTGCCTCAGGAAGATGTTACATGATACACATCAAAGGCAACTCACCTCCATTTTTCCTGTACCTTTCTCCCGCACGGAAGAAAGCATGGTAGCATCGGAAGAAAGCCCGTACTATCGACCATCGCAACACAGCCACTGGGTCAATACCTAAGGTAGAGACAAACAGATTATAAAAGCTTTTAACACCATTCAGTCTATCTGAATACCTATTCATTGGGTATGTCAGGCACGGTGGCCATCTTGTTATTTCAAATTTGTTTTGCCAGCCTTTTTCAATGCTGTGACACAAGCAAACTTCATGGCGGCCATCTTGGAACACAAAATGGCTGCTTTTTACAACCATTAAAAATGCCATATCTCAAAAGGTTTTGACATTAATCAAATAGGAAAAGTGTCTTTTACTCATTTATGCATGAACTACAAGTAGCGATATGAACTTTAATAAAATAATCGATGTACAATATTAGCCTGACCTCCCTACACATACAATTAAACAGGTTGAATATCTGTAATAGTACACTCAAAAACCTGTTTGTTCAAGTCAACAATATTCAACCTAGTGGTTAATATTACAAGCAACGGCCCACAACGTCATTGTTAGGTGATACACAATCAACCAACTGGACAAGTCCACCAGGTTTTTTAGTTGACTCTCACGAAAAACATAAGTTACTAGGGACCATTTCTAACCCAGAATTCCCCCAGTGGTCTTACATGAAACACAAACTTGTTCACGTCACCTACCTACAAGTTCCCTGACAAAGGACTGACTACTCTTCTTCAGAACACCAACTATATCTGTTCTAATAAGATCAGCATTCTTTTCTCGGAAATCCTGCAAACAGATTCCATGGAGAGCTCAGGGCACATTCAGGAAGAAATCATATGGAACTACAAATCTATCAATAGAAATATATCAATATACATGATCAATGCAGACTCATCCATACAACTGCACATAGTCATCTAAAACAATTCACATTATCAAAATATATCAGTCTTAAATAATTATGAAATATAATAGCAGTGAAACTGAGCTGGAATTCAACAAAATGGATATATGGTTCAAGAGGATCGTATTTTCTGGTCCTGCAATGTTTGTTACAATATTTTTAAAAAACCCATTTCATCATAAATTGCATTTCAAAATTAATGAAACAGACCGCCCAAATCACTGACCTTGATACTGTATTTGACCTTTCCAGCATAGTGCACAATGACAAAGGCCCTCTCTTTGAGTTGCGGGACTTGGTAGTAGGGATTGTTGGTGTGTTGGTGGGTGAACTTGGACAGCATCGTGTCATTGGTTGCACCAGGAAAACTGACAAGGAAGACAAGGGGAAGGCAATTATTTCATTGGGATGTGGTCATACCACATTTCTTACATGAAAAGTCTCAGTGTGATTGAAAAGCAGTCCAGGAAATAAACTCAATGTTATAAACTTGACACCTATAAAAAACGTAACCTGTAGTGTGGTCAAGTGCAAATGTGTGAAATCATATAACAAATTTACTTCCTGAAATGTGACTTGTTTGTTTGTTGTTTAGCACCGCACTCAGCAATACTTCAGCTATATGATGGCGGTCTGCATATAATCAAGTCTGTACCAAACAATCCAGTGATTGACATCATGAACATCTATCTATGCAATTGGGATACAATAACATTTGACTTTAGTGTATCTTAGTTTTGTATGTATATCTAATGAAGAAGTTAATATATCATAAATACATGTGAACTTGAGACTGAAACTGAGACTGAAGGAGTCAGTGTCAAGTAAAGATAATCTTAGCCTCCAGTATGCTGCAATGTGTGTAAACCATTTCATGTATTCGCTACTCACACATAACAATCTCAGCGCTAAGATGTTAGAAACTCCTGCACTTGAACATGCCAACATCGACAAACAATATTTAAAATGGTTTGTAAACATGATCTCAGAGTGTTTATCAGAACATCAAAAGTCTCTCTACTTGTCATGGTGGGCGACATCATTATATATTGCAAGGACGTGTAGTGTCTCATCAGGTCAAGCGTGTCACATTATATTTCTGACTAATGTAATATTCTACTTGGTGTCTTCTTTGCTCTGTAGTCCTTGTAGATTGGATTTCTAAATACAGACTTCCACAGTGAACTAATTATTCCTGTAAATCTTGATTACCCTACAGCTGTATTGAGTGACTGGTGACACAAACTAAGTAACCTTACTTGCACTCTTCATCCATGAGACAGAAGAGACCCTTAGGCCTTTTGCTGAACAGTTCTAGACAGGCTGTGTTGTCGATGAACTCGATGTTCTTCCACTGGATGCCTTCACGCTGATACTCCTCCTGTGAAACAAAACAGGAAACAATCACTGGGAGGTTGACTTGAACGCCAATCGGATGCGTACCAGCATCAGCTGGTCATAGAACAGGTATTCGTGTATTCCAGCCTTCATACTGTCTTTTATGCTGCAGTTAGCAATATTCCAGCTGTCTGATGGCTGCAGAGCTCCAGATAACCTGCGTATCTGCATAAAATACGCATCAGAAATGCAGAAATACGCAGTAAAATAAAATCCAAGCATATCAAATACGCAACGAACATTACAGATACGCTACAAAAATAAAACTTGTGCGTATCACAAAATATTGTGAAGTAAGCCTGCGTATTCGATAAGCAAATCAGCAACTTATTTTGAAATTATAAACGGGCATTCCGTCAACCTTGCTAAACTCCCCGATGACAGTTACATATTGATCATTTGCCATCAAACTTTCTTGTGGAAGTATCGTGGTATTTTTTAATCCTATAAAGCTCTCAAACCCACACGACACCAGTTTGCAGGGACTAGATGAATAGTGTTTTAAAATATTTAACTTAAATACCCACATGTGTAAAAACTAGTGGGTAACAGAAATTTGAAAACCCAGATAGAATTACTGATACCCAATGATTTTAAAATGCATGGGTAAAATACCCGCAACACCTAAAGCTTATCTGGAGCTCTGTGGCTGCCTTCAAAATTTGAGAGTAGACCATCCAAACCAGTGACTGAAGCGTGAACAAAGATGCACACCATCAAGGAACAATGGCAGGCAATCAGCCAAGTCAGAGTATGACCACTCTGTCAACTCAACGCCATGCATAGGTTACTGGCAACCCACAATAATTTGAAATCCCCATGCATAGTTCAGCATTCAGTTTTTTCTTCAATCCTGTGTCCTATACAAAATCAAATTTGTTTTTTAGCACTATTTCTTGTACTGGATCTCCAGTGATTGATTATTAAGAAAGGGAAAGATGTGTCCTTTCAAAACACAAACATGCATTTGATTAATTATGCTTGTATTATAATAAATGTGTATATTACCTGTTCAAACTTGAAGATGTGTTGGTTGAAGTAGTACTGAAGGTGTTCATTGGCAAAGTTGATACAGAACTGCTCAAAACTGTTCTTGCCAAAGTCTTCAAAGCCAAAGATGTCAAGAACGCCTATGGAGTTTCCCTATAACCAACCACAGCATATGAGCACCCATTCTTTTCTATACAATGTAGGAACACCTTGGAGAGAAAGACTGAATATCATCATGGTTATCATAACTGGTATTGTTGAAAATGGCAAACAAAATTTCAAAATATCAAGCCGGATGAGAAGATTTCAATCATATTTTAACAGCTACAACAACGAACCCACAATCATCATATCCTGGTGCAACTAAGGGATGCAACTCTGCACAGCTAACTGCAGAGTTTAGACTCATGAGCCACCCATGTTTCCCCAAGAGGCAAGAAACACAACACAATAAGTCAGGGTTGCTTTACTTAGTGCTGACTACTTCACAAAATGAAGAGAGCATGATTTTCTTCTTTTACATGCAAAGACTAAAGACAGGATAATTATTGAATTTTGCACAATTATTTGCAGAAAAACGTCTTTTTATAAAAGGGACATGAGTTAATAGTTGTAAGTTGTGGAAAAGGAGCACTAAGTCATAGATTTCATTACATTATATGAAAAAAGGGAATGCAATGGTTGGAGGTAAAATCAAGTAGGGTTGGTTTGGTAAAAACATGCATCAAGCACTTGTTACAAAATCATTCAAAATCCTAACACATTTCAGGTATCAAATAGGTTATTTTTAAATATAACAAACATGACATCACCATAAAATCAGCTGTGGTCAAGTTATGTCCCACACAATGACGCCTAGTCCAACATTCAATCATAACAACAATATTTCCAATTTTCGATCCCTGCAACCATAAATTCCTTGCAACACCTTGTTCCAGTGTAAATTTACTGCTTGTATCATTCCACTGTAACAAACCCAGGTGGCAGCTGAAATGAAGAACTGCATGAAACCAATTCCACATGCATGGATCAGTTTGAGTGCCAACATGTACATGTGAATCAACAACACCCGTGGCTCTCTCACTTCAATCTTAACACAGTATGCGTAACAAACTTTGGAGTCTACAGTCCTGAACTTGGCTCTTTGCATTATTTTAAGTCCATTTCAGAGTAATGATATGGACTATTATTAGCTGAGTTTATTATATATTTAACAAACAAAAACAAAACTACTTTCGCAAAAAAGAGTTTTGAAAAGGCCAATTCAGGTAATTATTATGTTAAGGCATTAAGTCAGAAATTTAAATTTAGTAATATAATCCACTCTGCTAAACAGTTTAAGAAACTTTCTCAGTGAGCATTGCTGTTTTGCTGTTGATGAATTCCCAGGATTTGTGACAGCCACAATGTATCATTGATTTACATCAACATTTGAAAGCCAAGCTCTGACCGACTCGTTGATGACAAGTACTTACCATGTTGATAAACTAAGCTACTCTTACCTAACGACAATGACAAATGATTAACAACCATGACAACAGAAAATGAGATGAAGACAACAAGTTGTCCATATCCCCCGCCATACCTATGGTATCATCAATGTATGAACACTAGACTGATTTCAGCAGATAGCAACATGAATAGTGTTTTGTTTGTTTGTTGTTTAACGCTGCACTCAGCAACAATCCAGCTATATGACAGCATGCTATAAATAATCAAGTCTGGACCAGACAATCCAGTGACTGATATTGTAAGAAACGATCCACGCCATCAACCAAATCTCCGAGTCTGACCACCCAATCCATGTAGTCCCCTCTTACGACCAGCATATCCTGAGGGGGAACAATTCTAACCCAGAATCACCAAAGGGGAAAGCAGCATAACAGTGTGTGGACCACATCAGCACCACATTCTGTCTTGTGTCCTACTTCGCCTACTCCTTTCAGTCAGACAACATGCAACTGTCCAACTTCAATTCCACACCAGATTGCATACTTTTCAGCACAGATTTGTAAAATTGTAGAATTCGTGATGAGTTTTCTTAAGTGGCCTTGAATCTAAAGGTCAGATCATCAAATCTCCAAAATATTTACTTATTGGGACATATACCATGTGTCATGTATGAATTCCTTATGACAATTCAATTACTCCATGAACCATCTTGCTAATCTTTCGCTGTGCGAATGACTTTGGCATGACCTTGACCTTCAACATGTGCGAAAAGTGACCGCTGGTAACAAAGCTATATACCAAATAGAACATTGCCATACTCATTTTGTCTGAAACGTCTCATTTTTAAGAATGTCTTTTGAAGTTAAATTTCCAGAAACAAACTTTGCAAGACACCCTGTTATTAGAAGTTCAATACATCATGAATAGTTTCTGCTTCGATCCAGACGTGAAATGAGGAGACAGGCACATCAAAGGATGAAGAGACGAAACATGTTTATTTAACACCTTCCATCGTGTTGAGGCAGGAGATAAGAAGGAATACTATACACATTAATACCCATGCTCATTCCTAATATAACCAAACCAGGAAATCAGTGTGGAAGGAACTTGAAACATAACAGTAGAGAAGGAACTATGGACCACAGACCTCATTAGTACATAAGTGGATGTTACTCATGTGCAGGGCATGGGGCAATGAGGGGCAGCTATACAGGAGGAGAGTTGTCTCACCATATCACACACTCAAGGATTCACAACTGATGACTTTCTTGTGAACAATTATACAATGATTTGACAATGATGAGTGAGATTTAACTCTATTTTTAACAGCATTTCAGTTTTATGTCAATGTAATGTGGGAGGAAAGCCCAAAGTGATTCAGGTCATGGACATTTGTGAGCACAGTAATGGTGCTGTCAAACCAAGAATCACATTCTGAGTCACCACTGGACCCAGCATCATCAGATCCAGGCACAATCAAGGGACGCAACCCTGCACGGTGAACGACGGCACCCTATACAACTGTGCCACCTCTGACAAGAACAGAGCCTGAACAGCCATGCCCTTGAGTAAATATTACACTGATGTGAAATACCCTACCCTGTGAAAATGAAGGGTCTGGGACACAAATCCCCCACCCACCCACCCTCAATACAGAGGAAAGCACTTGTTTTTTCAGGGGTCAATGAAAATGACTCATGGCCATATGAAGCACTGGTTCCATTACCCTAAATACATCTCTGTTATTGGAATTTGATCCTATTCTATTCTATCTGTGCAGGTGAACTTTGACTACCTTTCCCATCTCAATGTTTACAGTGTGAAAAAAAGCAAATATTAACACAGGGGCAAAAATGTGGCTGTTTCAGCTGAAGCAGTTAAAATCTGTGACTAATTGTGAAAGCAAGCATTAACTGAAACACTAGTCAAAAAACACTTGTTTGCAATAAACAGTGTTTGCTTGAGATAGGCCATGGTTACATATATCCTTAAGTAGGAGCCTGATGACCTTAGACTGGTGTGTTCATCATAACAAAATGATAAACCATGTAATAGCATAACCTAAGCTAGTACAAATAAAACATTGACATATTGACACAAGACATGGAAAAAGTTGAGATCATTAAAACAAAAAGTGTGAAAACAAAATTAATTATAAAAAAACAAAAAACAAAAAAAACAAAAAAATCTCTGGTTTATCATTTCCACACAATTATGCATGGAAAGATAATATGCTGACCAAAACAAGTTAGTATCATGAATATTTTGACGATGTTGTTTTGTAGTGAAGATTGAGTACACAATCTTATAAAAATATCACCGAAAATATTCATGATCCCTAACTTTTTTTGTTCAGGATACAAAGTCTGACAACACGTCCCCAGTACACTTTTCAACTAATATGATACACGTCTATCCTCCAACCCCCAATCAACGACCCCATGTTAGAAGGGAAGCAGGCAGTGTAAGCTATGTGAACAGAGTTCCCGTCCACAGTTTGATGATAGGAAAACAAACGAGAAGAACCACAGAAAGGAAATCCAAAACTGCATGCGGTAACAGGAGGATGGAGAGGAAACGAGGGAAATGGTTGCAGAATTCAGCTGCACAAAATCGTACCAAAGCCAAAGGATCGCTTTCCAAATCAAGCTGACCCTGAAGAGGGCCATTAGACTCTGGGCTGGAATCAGATGTGCTTAATACCACCTCCTTCGGCACCTGAAACGCGGACACGGCACATGATATCAATCCATAATTGCACCTTCAGTGTTCTGAATTTACTGTTAGAAAGTTGGGCTTAATGCCGATCTAAGCAATATTGCAGCCATATTACGACGAGCCACCCAAAATGAGCTTCTGTACCCATCTGTGGAATCAAACTGGGTGTTGTGCAAGAAGAGCAAACACTGGAACCACTGGGCTAGCTAGCCTATATACTGATGTGAAGGTGCTCGAGAGAGAATAGGAACAGCAACAAAAGATGATGAAGGGGGAACTGAAATGTAAATTGTATACAAAGTGTACATGTAACATATCTTAAAACTTGAAACGCTCCAATTTGGAAGAAAAATTAACATGCATCAATCTTAAAAAGCTGCAGATAAGAAAAAATATTATTAGAGATACAATTCAGAGATTCATCTCACATGATGATTCTGATGGTGTTAGTAGGAATAGGAAGGACCTTGCAGCTTCATATTGCAAGCATTTGAAAAATGTTCGAAAACAAAATAATTCTGATCATGTACCTGAACCAAACAAGGTCTGTTTAAGATCAGTTATATCAAGAGATCACGTTACCGTCTGTCTGCTCACAATAATCTAACTAGGCATCATTAGTGGGAGTACCTGATGTTCGCTGTTGTGTTTCTTGGCTAGCAAAGCCTGGTTCACTTTGAGGACAATCCAGTCAAACAGAGATCCATATAAACACTTTGCCATGGCATCTCGCGTAGCAATGGCCTGAAAGTGGAGAGGAATGCATGTACAATCCAGTGGACAGTGAAATATATGTACCGGTACCTTGGACTATAAGTGCCGCTTGGTGTTCTTCAATCAGAGGATGCTTAAATATGTAGTGATGCTCTTTCGAGAACAAAACATTTATTTCTTTTTCAAATCAAAGCATAATTATTTTTAACCCACTTCATGCAAAACATTCGTAATTATTAGAACGGTTTAGCAGTCCAGTCATAACTTACTGGACTCCAGGGATAGACACAGCCACTGGTCTGTCATCTTCCAAGGACCAGAGAGTCAACTGATTATAAAAGTCTAGTTTCCACCCTTGCCGAACTAGGCTGGTACGATTATGGAGTTACATTTTGGCTGGACTAATAAGTCTATGCATAGTCCAATCAAAATCGCGCAGGGAAATCAAAATCGGAATCGTAAACTGTCGTGCAGATTTCGATCGATTGCAAGATTTGCAAAGCATGTGCACCGCCAACTCGTTGTCAGCAGATATTTTCCAAATCTTTTCATGTTTATAATCATGGTGCTCAAGTATTTTGATGCATTTCGCAATGTAAGACCCCTTTTATCACAATACTGGTCTTGATTATCAATCAGATCATTCTGACTGGGCGCCACCATTTTGTGTGAAGCAAACACAAGTGATACGAGAGGTGGAATCTGATTGGTCCATAGGAGAGGCTTAGAAGGGACATAACTGGTTTAAATAGCCACTGGTGGCGCTACGATCGAGCCCAGTAATTCCAGCCTAGTTCGGCAAGGATGGAAGCTTGACTTTTAAAGTCAGTTAACTCTCTTGCCTCGGGAAGATGCTGGTCTGTTAGTCCGAGACTAATGAAAATCCTTTGGGACAAGTTGGTTTTTTTATGTAGATGTAAATGTAGTTATATTGCATAAGCCACGAGACCGAAATAAGCTGCAGACTAGTTGGAAATGAGGTGACAACTTCTGGACTCATGCATTGGAGTCCTGGTATCAAACTGGGAATGGCAGGAGTGAGAGCGATGGTCTGAACAGGGATCTTACATCCTCCATCTTGTAGTTGATGACGACCGTTTCATCCCCCGCCACGGTCTTCTTGGTGGTGAGAGCTTCCAGCACAGTCTTCTCCTTTACCTGGAATAAACAGGAGGGCACAAGTCAACACACTGCAGTTTTCAACAGTCAAAATATTCACAAGGGGAGGCTACTCTGATGTTCAGCAAGTTCTCACAATTCACTGACAAAGCTCTTAAGATGAATAGCACTAATTTCTTGTTTTTATCCCCAATATCGACTGGGATCCCAGTCTAGTGGTTATTTTCATGCCACAATAAGTGGATGGAAAATAAAGACAATGAATTCTGTGCAATAAATGTAATCATATACTGCATGTGCTACAAATCTTAAATAGGTTGACATCATAAAATGTGAGTTAGCAGTAAAGTGGTGATTGAATGCCTTGAATCAAACTTGCTAGGATAAGCCAAATTAGTTAAAGTTCAGTCACTGTTAGAAATTCGTGAAATTGAGACACCGTTTCCTTGTAATAAATGTTATTGATTAAATGTCCATAGATCGATAGATCTAGATCACCAAGCAGTAGGCAGGCAAAGTGTTGTTTCAATGACCAGATTCAAAAGTGCTCAGCCTGCAAATGATCCATTGTTTGGTATTTGTTTCCTGTTTCTCTCTACCACATTATCTGTCTGTGCCAACAATCGTTGAGAATACTAGCCAGAATTTGTCTCTTGGCATTATTTCCAGTACATTTTGGTGCTAATTTCTGGACTAATTATCAGCTGTTATTTCCATGTCAAACTAATATATTCTGGTATCAGGCTTTATGCTAGTGAATAGTGTGTTAAACATATACACAGACTATTTCAAACACACACAGATAGCCATACAGAGAGTACATACTTTGAGTAGACTGCAGATGATCTGCACAGTGGCTTCATTCTTCACGGACACGGACTCGTCATGGTGCTGATCCCCTTTCTACAACACGAGTTCACATCAATATGATACAACCATTAGGCCACAATATACTCATCATATCCTCATGTCCTTGGTCAAATCAAAAGCAAATGACAACAAATTTATTCTACATTTCTTCAACATGTCAATAAATGTTTCATTAAAAAGTGTTTCCTTTTTGTGAGACATAAAAGAACATCTACCATTTCTTTTGCCAGCCATTCTAAGCAAGGGAAGTAATTTAGTTGCTGGTCATATCAACCGACATCTGTGATATAAATCACTAACAAAAAATTATTCTTTCCCATTTTAAAAGGGTGTGTTTGGTTTACATATTCCAGGCAAAAAACACAGGAACACCAAGAACAGGCTTCTATAATGTACCTAGGGGATGGAACCTGAGACTTCAGCATAATGAGAAGATGCTTCAGCCGCAAGTCTACACCAACATCTCTCTAAAGAGATGGTTATTTTGGAGATAGGGTAATTAAAGTGTTCAAGCCTTATCAAATTCAGTGAAAGACGTGCATAAGATTATATACCGTATTCGACGTAATAAGCGCCCCGCTCTTATAAGCACCCACGGCGATATTTTCTAATATATTAACAAGTGAGCAATCCCAATTAGCATCCCTTCCGATTGATCAATGTACACAAGACTTATTTATTCGCGTATATACGCACTCGTGTGTCATATTCACCCTTAATAATGGACACTTAAATTCTGGAATAATATATCTGTCTTATATAAACATTTCAGGCTGTCAGCATAAACAACGAAATTTATCTTTCAACTCTGTATTTTTCACCCAAAAAATATTCTAACAAGAGCCCCGTTTTCTAATTTTGAGAGTGCCCTGGGCGCTTATTACGTCGAATATGGTATTCATTGAAAGAAATCAAAATTTAATGATACAGGTTTCATGTCATGCTAACGTTCCATGTAAAAATAATATCATGTTTTTAGGGGCAAGGACAAGAAAATGCGAACTCAATTTGATCTAAAACACTGCACACAGTTTTATTAACTAAATGAAGTCAAAGGGCCATGATTCAGGAGATACTGATATCATAAACTTTTATTTCCTTAGATATCACAAACATACATTCTAGATAATGGGATATATTCACAAAACAAATTCCATGTATATAGTTGATTGGAAGTATGATTCAGTATCTGTCAATAGTATAAACACTTTCCTTGTTGAATTATCAGTGAATGCTGACAATAAATGCAGCTTCATGCAGGCTTTTCCTTATTGATACACTTGTATGTCGACAGTCACCTACATACCTTTCTAAACTCTATGTTGCCCAGGTGCAACACTGCTGACAGTACTGCAAATATCCTGTCAACAAACAAGGAATGAAATTGGAGGCAAACAAAGATATCCCACATGGACATGGCAACCTATGTACATAACGTTACATTATTAGATCAATGTTTATGAACTTCCTTATGCTTGTTTGTTTGTTGTTTAATGACGCACTCAGTACTTTTCAAGCTATATGATGGCTGGTTGTAAATGTGGAGACTGGGCTCCTCAAGCCAATGATTGATATGAGAAAACCCCGCCATCAAGGTACGATGACACAGTCAACCAAGTGACCGAGCCTGACCACCTGTTCCATAGAAGCCCCTTACAACAGGACTTATCAAAGTAAATGACAAATCCCCGGTCCCCATGATAGCTCAAGACTTTACTTTAGCCACTGGTTAACACATATACTAAGTTTGAATGAAATATCTGTCATGGTTTTCAAGTATCTGGAAACAAAATACAAACAGACAGACGGACGGACAGACAGACAGCCAGCCAGACCAGATGATTACTATACCCCCCCACGTTATATATGCCGGGGGACAACAAGTATGGCTTGGTGGGACCATATTACCCCAGGGGACCCATGGAGAATTGTCTCCCTTTGTACATCTCCGCAAGACATGGATCACTGAGGGGCAGATGCTCCTACTTGTAGCATATTTCCTGTCTCTGTTAGCAATGGGATTGTATGTTTCTGTCACAGATTAGACATCTGACACAATCCTGGATCCAACATGTCAACAAACTGCTCTTCTTTCCTCTCATTAAGCATACAGATCCTTGTCAGATGGTAAAATACCAAACAGGTAGATACCAGTTTCATTGAACTTTTCAATTCATTTTGTTCTTGCATTTTCACATCTTTCAGAATCAGAAACAGCTGTGTCAGCAATTACAGGTCCAATAATTCTTTATCTTTGCACATTTGGTCTTCAAAATTTAGATAAACATAAGGGGTGCTTGCAATAAATTTAATGTAAAAAAATACATTTCAATACTATATAACAATAAACCTCAAGTACCACATGGGACCCTTTTAGTTTCTAACACTGCATATTTATCAGTTTATTTGATTACCAAACTTTCTACCTTTCAATGACAGCAGGAACAAGACTGAGTCAGTACATTTTACTACTATACATAAATACACCTGTGCACATTCATATTTGTTATTCAGGGGAGATTTCCTCATGGTCATATCACCGACCTCTTCTGCGTCTCATGTGAGAAGCCGACCATCTCCATGGACTGTTTAAGTCTGGCAAATTCATCTTCTTCATCCACCCCTTCAACACTGTAGCAGTCACTCTGAAATCAAAATCATTTTTCATAAATCTGCTAACACCTAAAAACACATAAAAATTCATACTGGAAAGCCCGAAAAGACCACATGGGTTAAATATTCAATATTTTTAAAATATTAAATTCCCCTGAGTGGCAGCTCTTGAACAGCAATGTCTCCCTGACATGGAGCTGCATCTAATGAGAAGCCTACCACACAGACTCTCGGCGACACGCACGGAGAGTCGGACAGGATGGGAAGTACTGTAAGGTTTCACAGCACTGTCCACCAGAAGCAGAACATACCAACAGACAAAATTAAGGAGCCTTCACAGCATATATTAGCAGCGTATAAAAAATAAATGTAAACATTGAAAGTCGAGACACACTCATGTGCAAAATCTGCTAATGAAAACATCTTCAGATATATATACACTGGTGGAAATATGGCATGCATATGGAGTAGTACTGTGTGCTGCTGCTGTCATGATTAGATGAATTATGATACACATCAGTATTAGCAAAGCATCGGTTACCAAGGTTTCATATCCTCTAAGAGACACACTGTCCAATTCCTATAAAGTATATCAGCAAAAAAGAAAATAAATGTATCAGCAAATATTGAGCAATAAACCTGAAACTGAAAGCTTAATAGAAAAGAACAACCAAAAAAACAAATTCAATTTAGAGTAAGCTTTCATCGTGGCCACCTGATCCCCAATTCTGTTCACTCTTACAAAGTGAAGGATTTGTCGAGGATTCAATCTGCCTAGAATCCCCTATAAGGGATATACAGAATGACACATAGTTGAAGATCGTCTAAACTTTAATTAATACAGTGACCATCACACCCCCTGTCAAGACCCTCCACCAGCTTGTGCAGCATTTCCACAAAACACCAGGGCATCATGCTTTAAAAACATGTGTAAATAGGATTTTGAGTTAAACATTCTTGGGAAATCGTACAAAATGCAAAGGAGGTATGCCAAAAATAATTAAGTTTAGTTACGAATGTAATGCGCAGTGTGACTGGCTGGCACAGAAGCAGCAGCCAGAGCTGAGTGCAGTAGCTATGAAGTAACCACAGCAGCGACTGTTCAGATAGGCCATGGTTGTCATATGATTTCAAATGCATGCACTGTTAAGATGGACAATGGTTGTCACATGTCACATGCATGCACTGTTCAGATGGGCCATGGTTGTCATGTAATATCACTGTTCAGGTGGACCATGGTTGTCACGTGATGTCACATGCATGCACTGTTCAGATGGACCATGGTTGTCACATGTCACATGCATGCACTGTTCAGATGGACCATTGTTGTCATGTAATATCACTGTTCGGGTGGACCATGGTTGTCACATGTCACATGCATGCACTGTTCAGATGGAACATGGTTGTCACATGTCACATGCATGCACTGTTCAGATGGACCATTGTTGTCATGTAATATCACTGTTCGGGTGGACCATGGTTGTCACATGTCACATGCATGCACTGTTCGGGTGGACCATGGTTGTCACATGTCACATGCATGCACTGTTCAGATGGAACATGGTTGTCACATGTCACATGCATGCACTGTTCAGATGGACCATTGTTGTCATGTAATATCACTGTTCGGGTGGAACATGGTTGTCCCATGATTTCACATGCATGCACTGTTCAAATGCAGGTGTCTTAACACCTACACCAAGTGCAACCAAGTGAATCAATCAGGTTGCACACCAAAATATTGACTGCACCATTTTAACATAAATTGAAATACTGTATTTTGCAGTTATTTTGAATATTAAATAAATTCAAAGAGAAAATAAACTTGAGAATGTCCTCCGGTATTTTATTTTGGGGGGAAAAAATGTGGCTTTTCACATCTTGATATCAAGTAAACAACCTTCAACAGAAGTTTTAAAGTGTCTTTTGTTGTGATTGTAACCTCATGAGTGACTGTTCTAGTAGTAATTGTGAAGAATTAGTTCTGCAAGTTCACTCAATTCCGACCAGCGTATTTCACTATTTTCTTGAACTTTTTTTTTTCCTGGATTCTAAAAGATTTGCAGCCATTTCTAAAAGAATTAACTTTCTCACTTTTAACAAAAATGCTACCGTGCAATTGTATGGAAATGTTACCTGCACTTGGTGCATCCTGGCAATAAAAGTTACCTGTTTTACCTCTGGTGCAGCTTGGATACAGCGGAATCAAACCCTGTATTAGCTGTATCCTCTTAAAACATAGTTCACTATTTGTCATTATCACTGTATGAATCTCAAACTTCAATTATTTGGATCGGACCAAAATGATGTTCACAAGCACCATTAGCCAATAGCCATCATCAGCAGCCTCAACAACCTCCATCATCGATGAGTGTACCACCACCAGCAGCCTCCATTAGTGGCCATAACAGCTGTGCAGCTACCCCTGCAATAATCTTCCCGAGATCCCTGAGTAGTCTGGTGTGACCCACTGGCCCAGCACTGCCCCGAAACAGTCTCCCTCCCACATCAGTGGAGATGAGGTGGACCCACTTGATAACACAAGCAGTTGCCCGATTAAACATAACTGATTCAAACTGGACATAAATCATTACTGCCAGTAGCTGGGCCCTGGCACAGGGAAAACAGGAATAACAGCAGGTGTCCGCCTACCCCTCACTATTGAACATATTAGTCTCTTCCGGATTTTATTTCATTATTCACACTAAACATCATCACAATACTTGTGCTACAAAAACAGCCCTACACAGAGGAGTCCGTTAGTCTCAGATTAGTGAAAATATAGCTTAGGGGCTAGCTGTTTTCTCCCCCAAAAAAGGTTTCACAAAAACAACTAATCCGAAAAGAGCAGTGGACAAAGTGGATATGACCCATGGTGTATACCCCCGCTAAAAAGTAACATGCAATAAATATTTGTTAGTTCAAAGTACTAGGGAACATTTAAATTGTTATTAGTTTCAATTCAAACAATCGAAGTGCCCATATAAGACCATGGTGCTGATAAGGATTATGCTGGGACTATAACATTACATCATCTTACATTGATATAATAAAGTCTGAATTACTGCTTCACTATATCAGGAATGAAAGTCCATGGTACCCTGTCATAAACCCAGTGCTAAAGTTCAAGATTTAGGACCTTGATTCAAATGAAAAGGACCCCCAGCCACTCCTTAACTTCAAACAATGTATTCTTTTATTAATTCCAAATAATTCCTGTCCAATGACTTCAAAACTTTTGGAAGCAGGTCAAAGATTCTAAAAAGTACTGGGTAGATGGAAACTGGTGGACACAACAGCATAAATATCAAACTATCATGTGATTTATTCATTACTGTAATCACTGAATCACTTATTATAAAATCAGCATGTGTCACATTTTTAGCCACATGCATCACACAGCCTTTGAAGCCACATGCATCACACAGCCTTTGAAGCCACATGCATCACACAGTCTTTGAAGCTGTCTCGAAGTCCCTGAACCACATCGTCTTCCCTTCCTCCCATCCCTTACTGTAATGCCACAGCCCTCAGAAGCAATCTAGACTTTCCACAGATTCAGGTTCTGAATCCCCCATCACACTTGGGCTCCTTTTCAATTTAAGTTGCTTGTCCTATCAAATCATGTGTTCAGAGACAAATGTTTGTCTACTGAAACAACTGCATACAAAATAACCCTCTGTGTTACCACCCTTACCACCAAATCCACCTTCACGAAACTAAGCTGTTACTATAAGATCATTCAAATTGTATTAACCTGTTACAGGAACACGAACTGCGACTCATTGTTGACAAGGACACACATGCTATATGTATTGCCTCATTATAGGTGGGTGTGGTTGCTACATTGTATCAAGGGTTACAGCTTAGTTGCTCATTATTGCATAACTTGTATTGTTCATTACTCCTACCTCCAACACAAAACGGTGTAGATAAAAACACACTACTAATCGTACTTCAGGACAATCAGCCGATAAGTCCCAAATATTAACTTGATTACATATATATATCATGACTGTGCATGACCAAACTAACTCAAGCTCTGAGGCTGATATTAGATCTACAGCAAATTTCAGAAGTTACAAGCAAACATTTCCCAATTCAAGTTATTACAAAACTGATGCACCTGTGTGAATAAATTCCACAACTAGACAGAATGTATGACTTAATCCCTAGGTTTCCTTAGATTCATTAAACATGCCACATCATTGTAGATTTCAATCACATTGTTCCTAACTTTCAGCTAAATTCACATTTGTTCCATATCCAACTTGAGAAAACAAAAACAAGCAAAATAAACAAAAGACAATTTCAACAAAACATAAAAAATGATCCTTGGTGATATCATTTTCCTACACATAAGGACAGTCACACTTTTTGACAAATACATATGAAATAGGAAGGACATCATCATTCAGTTGCCTGGCAACACATTGATGTTCAGCTATGAGGTCCGAGGATAAGGCCATCTGACAAATGACATGTCAGAAATCCTTGGTATATGTGCTACTGATGTCACGGCTAGCTGATATACACCTGTTTGATATTATACCAGCTATAACAGTACCGCCAGACTCACATTTCCCTAAATCACCAAAGCAAATTAACGTTTTTAACAGTGGGAAGAATGAAAGTATGTGTTGTTTTTACATTAATATCTCCATAAACGCTAAAAAAAAAAACTGAAGTCAATTCTTAATTAACTTTAACATTTGACATCAAAAATTGATTTTGCATAAAAAGAAAATCCTCATTTCCTCAGTGATATTAAAATTTTATCACATTCACGATACGTTACTTTATCAAGGATATAGTGCCTCACAAACAACGTATTGCAATACAATATCTAATCCGGCTCCCAGACCCAAGAGAATAAACTAAAAAAAGAATCCAACTCAGGTCTAGAATGATTTGGCAAGTCTAAATTTCCTCAGCTCCTGAAATTAAGGAATGTTCCATTTGGATATTCTTATTCTATTTTGTAGATATATATTTTAAATAAGATAACATATTTCTGAGGACTAAATGTCAGTCTATACAATATCATGACTTCAATGTTCCATTTCAGCTGATGACTATATTCCTGCTGGAGGGGCTTACAGCACAATCAAATGATAACATGTCCAATCCCCTATTTCCAAATGCACAACAGTGATTACTATTTCGGGGTTATTTGTGAGTTAATTCTGTAAGTTGTGTAGCCTCTCACTACAGTACAGCATCCGGGGTGGAGATGCTTGAGATGTGCGTGGACAAAGGGCCACACAGATACTGATAACAGTGATGCATGTCCTTTTGGAACCACACTGGCACAGCTATGTAGACTCCTCTCTCACGAAACAAAGGAATGTCATGATAAGCTGCTTGATCTTGTCCCCTGACCATACAACATACCATGGATCTCTTTTGATAAAGGTACCAAAGTTCCTCAAATACATACCTAGGTATCTATTTCAGTGTTTGAAATGATGCATGAAAGTCAATTTGAGGGCCTTGTCATACCCCTAATGTTGAATGTTGAAATTGAGAGGGTGTGCAGACTCAGGTACTACAGCAGTAAACCTCAAGGTGGCAAGGACCCCCTTAATTTCAAACACTGTACCTTCATCTGCATCTATTCCGACACAAGGTGAAGATTTTAGGAATTTTGAGTTGTGGTTAAATCTTGTCACACAATAGCAGTAATAGAAGTTAACATGAAGACACTTCAATGAAATGCTGTCCAATACAATAAGATGAAGCTCTAAGTTTGAATTGATAATGACAAAAATAAATAATCAGACATATCCTATTTACCATAATGCAAATGTTCTTCAAAAAAAATAATTACATTAGAAAATTTAATTATTTACATAATGACTTTTTATGCCATCAAATTCCCTAATGTAGCCAGCATATTTAAAGAACTGCAACTTATTTTTGTTCCCTAGTAATTTATGAAAGTAAAGATTAATAGCAACTACATATGCACATGCTCACATCATCTTTCTAAAGATATTTTCAGGCCTCTTAATAAATTAACCCCAACAGTTAGAAACATTCAAAAGCCAACAGCCTCAAGATCAATAAACAGCAAATGCAGGGATGGTGATCAACATTCCAATTTTCACCGAGACCTTTTAACCAGTATATCATTATTCATCCACTCAAAGCTGTTTCCTCATCAAGAGATATATATCACATGCCTAGGTAATACCATCCATATTGATCAAGTGTCAATCACGCCATATTCATTATCGATTGGTCAGTCTTTGCTCCACCTTTGACCCTGTGTTAATGTCAAAGTTTGCCTCAGGGTAGTTAGACTTGAGACCAAATAACACCAGTCCTCTGGGATCCCGGTGTGGTCAGATATGTAAATACAGATTACAGCTTGCCACCGGTGTGGTCACTGCTGACAACTTGGAAGCCCTCTGTCCAGGAGGTTACATAAACATCCCTGCTGCAGTATCATCATAGGGTCGTAATTACTCAACACAATGATGATACTGATGATGTATGTATGTTATATTTGAATTATTCAACATTTACATTAATAGATCCCAAAGCGTCTGTGTGTTGTAAAGGTACTGTCATTAGTATCTGTGTTGTTTTGACAAGCCTGATAACAGCCGTATAGACATTAATACATCAGCTCCAAACAGTACGGTAACAGCACAGAGACACTGAGTACTGTCATAAGTGAGACAATGAGTTGAGTTTAATGCCACTTTTAACAGTATTCTAGTAATGTCATAGCAGGTCTGCCTAAGTGGGAGAAAAGAGCAAAGTGACGCAGGTCTTAAATGTTACCACTTTGGTGAAACCCATGAGCACGGGTATAGGACTGACAAACCTAGAAACATAATCAAGACTAACTGGGATTCGAACCCATAATCACAGATCCCAAGGGACACAACTCTGCACAGGGACTTGCAGCACCTTAGATGACTGTGCCCCGTGGCCCCAGATGTTTGCTGGTTTGTTTGTTTGTTTGTTTATTTGTTTGACACCACACTCAGCAATATTCCAGTTATATGACGGCGGTCTGTAAATAATCAAGTCTGAACCTGACAATCCAGTGATTGACAACATGTGCATCTACGATGGGATACGATGACATGCATTAACCAAGTCAGCAAGCCTGACCACCCGATCATGTTAGTCGCCTCTTACAACAAGCATAGTTACCTTTGACAGTAAGAGCTGAAGTGAAGACCTATTCTTACCCGGATCTTTACGGGTGGCCCCAGATAAATAAAGTAATAAAGAAGACAGTTTTGATGATTCTGTTTTGATGACTCTAGCAATACACAGGACCCAGCACATAATTTGAAAATAGGGCTTGTGTTAAAATGCTGCAAATATTTCAAGTGAAACACAAATTCAATTTACAGACGGGTGATCTGGAAAGATGCTTGCAGTTATTTTGGCTGCTGTAAGCTGTAAACCTACTGCTGTCCAGCTGGCTAATTATCACAACTTCATTACAAGAGTCTCTAGAGGCATCTAGAAGATGGATATACGAGGAATATTATGGATGCGGATCAGCTTCAATCACCTGGTGAAGGGCAAGAAGTAGCCCTGGATCACTGTGTTGATACAATAAAGAAATTACTCCTTGTTATACTTTCATCATACAAATCAAGACAGACATTTTCCAGTCCGGTTTAATAACATCCATAATGCCAGCGAAAATCTGAAAGTTCTCAAAAGTAAGTGTAGTCAATTAACGCAGTAATGTACAGAGAGCTGGAGCGGTGACAGGAGCCAAGGTAACAACTGTGTAGCAGGTAGCAGTGAATAACACTGAACAGAACCACTGGTGATAACATCATTACTGGCAGCCTCTACCCCCCATCTCCCTCCCCCCTACACCCCCAGCAAGTGGCTCTGATTCCCAATCTACAGGGGGCTGGGAAGCCTGCTTTGGATCAAGGCAATATCACAGTACCCAGATCATAAGACCTATCTAGATCTATCTCTCTTGTTTGTTTTGGATAGCTAATAGTTTTTGATCCATTCATGTCATGGGGAGCTCTTGGTGTTATAAAGGAGGGCCGAGTCAATATTTCATTACACCAGCATGAGTGTTCACTAATCTCAGAATATTTCAAATATTGTATTTTGAAATACAGCAGAAATCAACTAGTACCAATCCAGAATAATTAAGCTTATACTCCATATTTAATATCCATTAATGCATTTCTACCAATCCGATGGACAGGATACTATTTCAAAACTTGACCCTTTGTGGTGAGAACACATATTAGATGTCTGTTGAATATTTCAATAAAACAACCAAGTATTTCCTGTCTTTGAAAGGCAGTTAGACATGCACACAAGGAAGAGCATTTATGGATGTCAACTATTTTATTATGAGGAACACAATGTTTTGGAGTACATGAAGTAAGCATATACTCCAAAACATTGTGTTCCTCATAATAAAAAAGTTGACATCCATAAATTCTCATCCTCAAGTATTCCCTTCTGTCATTTGCATCCAGGAACTAAGCCTTGACTCATGACAAGACTAATGACATGAACAAAGATTCCAACATAAAAGTGTCACTTAACTATTCTTTTAAATTAAACAAGAAATATAGAAATAATATTCCGCTCTTCGACCAAACTCATGCCAAATCTGTGGGTGGGAAGGTCTGTCACATACAAGGCAATTACATAATCCCATGTTTACAGTATACAGACTTTGATACCCCATGTCTATCTAGTCAGCTGTGTCAATAGAATTAATTACATTTACCACTGATGTAATAACAGTGTAGATTACATCAACACTCAGTCATCAATCAACAGAATGACAGACAATTATGCCACAGATTGCCCTGGACGAGTATCAAGACATCATAAAATAATCAGTTTTATTACTCTCTGAAAGGTTCTGCCAATATAATATGAGCATATACCAAGGGATTTACCTAGGATTCCAAGCTAAGCACCCTTGGCTGGTTAATTGGGCAAAATTCGCTATTTTGTTGTAAATTGGAATTGTTTAAAGTTCTTATGTTCCTAAATTCAGAGGTATTCTGATAATTTATTTTAACATAGCATTCAAACCAATAATCCTTGATCAACAATGCATTAACATGATATAAAATTGATTCAAATGTAAATCATAATGAAATAAACATGTTTCAAATACATATCACACTCAAGTGTTGTTATAGTATGTATGTCTAGGGCTAATGTAAGTTCAGAGGTGATTTAACTGTGGCCCATTGGCCCGTGGCCAGTCAAATTGACAAAAGGCTTGTTGAAATTTCACCCCTCCTCTGTGTATGTTTAATTTTTGCAATTTGACATTGCTCATGAATTATGTAATTTTGATGAGAAAATATTTAGGGGGGGGATAAGGTCGTGTGACCTCATCCCCCCTAAATATCAAGGGAGGATGAGGTCAAGGGGGGATGAACCTCGAAGAAAAATATTTCCCGATCATCTAGGCAGAATGACACAAACGGCAGCCATTCTGTAATGTTGTGTACAACAACATCCATATTTGCTCCTAAATCACCACAAAATGAGGCAAATGGAAGCCAAGATTTAATCTCAAAGGTGTTCCAAAATCTTCAGGGTCCTCCTATGTAGCATAGTCGCTGTGTTTAGTTGTAGGCCAGTTAGTTTGGAGAAGGGCCAGGAACTTTTGAAAGCAGCAAGCCTGCTGCCTATATACAAATTTGTTGTTAAACCTACACCTGACGTTGTCTTTACAACTGAGTAAATCACTCACCTGAGAAAGATAGTAATACTCTTCTGGTTCAGACAAGTACAGTGACTCCCTCTCATTCTTGTCTGCCCCCGCAAGCAAATAGTAAAACACGTGGTAGTTTCTGTAATAAACAAAACATGGATGAAACATTGTCAGTGTCCAAACTCGTGACCAATTCACACCAAAGAATAGAAATGATACATACAAATGTTCGATTAGGAATAGTTTGACCATAGCCCTGGCAAAATGTCTTTAGATACTCGTATAAAACGATTTGGTCATGCATACACTGAAGTTGACTGAAGTTTTATCTCTATTCAAATTTATAAAGTCAGAGAGAAATGAGAACATTTTTTGTCACTAAACAATATATCATGTGACTAACCACGGGTCTGGGTAGTCCTGTCGATATCCGGGTCCTACTTGGGAACCACCCGACCCAAGTACCCGAGTTACCCGTCCAAACCCTTACACACAGCTTTTATTTGCATGCTTACTTCAAACCATGGCTCAGCTGAACCATTGTCACTACTGTTTTGAAATGTCCAACCGTTTTCAAAACATAAACATCGCACAGGCATGTTCTTGATAGTTTACCAGCTCAAATTCAAATGATGAAAACGACTTCTGGTTCTATGAAGAGCTTAATCAAAAATTGGCTTCTATGGACAGGGTAAAATGAGTGAGTGAATAATGTTTTATGTTGCAGTCAAGCAGTATAACAGCACCTGCAAATAACTAATATTGTGAACAACTGGTTGACAGCTTGAACAATTGCACCATTACCCAGAGATAATGTAAAACACAATTATTCTTTTTACTGGCCCTCCCCGTGAAGATCCAGGTTAGAATAGGTCTTTAACAACCCATGTTAGCAGTAAGAGGCGAGTAACTATGCTTGTCGTAAGAGGCGACTAAAGGGATAGGGTGGTCAGGCTCGCTCACTTGGTAGATGCATGTCATCATATCCCAATTACGCGGATCGATGCTCATGATATCAATCACTGGATTGTCTGGTCCAGACTCGATTACTTACAGACCGCTGTCACATAGCTGGAATATTTCTGAGTTTGGCGTTAAACAACAAACAAATATTATTGGCCCATGTTATTAAAATTTGAGTGAGTGGTTAGAAAAGGTATTTATTTTCACTACAACTGGGAAGTTCTGCATTTGACACACATTTATGGCTGCACTACTGTCCTGAATTCATGATCAGTGTTGCAGTGAGTAACTGAAATCTGAAATCACTTCTCTACAACTGGCAGTGTCTGACACAAGCAAAATATATGGATCAAGGAGAAAAATGTTCACTTATTTCTCTGCATGATTCATCTGAATCTCTTCCCATAGATTCCCTGTCCCAATTTCAATGGAATGTTCAAGCAAGACATAATCAATATCATATGACTGGCCAACACAGACAATCAATATTCAAACTTAAAGCAAAGAATTTATTCCACATGTTCTATTGACTCTTTTCACTCGTGAGAAAATTCTTAACACTTCTATTCAAAAGAAAAACCTAGCACCAGTATTGTGCTGGTCAATAACTTAGTAAGAGCATGATCCAAGCAAATCCAATTCTAAAATCTGTCCCGAAACAGCTTGCTGGCAAATAACACACAACATGCTGCACTAGGCTACCCGTGTATGGTAGTAGTGTCTCAACCAACATTAGCTACAGTAGCCTTGCTCCAAGGCGGTACTGAAAGACAAGTCCATGGATGTGTAGTTATTCTATTCTCCTAATAGGCAAGTCTAGATATGTGGACTCCAATCTCTTATAGGGACAACTTGTTCTTATTATGTACATAATCTAGAAATTATGATTTAAACTAACATTATTGCATTAGAGACTTGTGCAAGTCTACATCAGCTGGGGTAGTACTGCAACCACGTACATGCTGCACTCACACATCTCAGCCTATCTCAGTCTAGGGCAGCTATTTCCTCGTCATCATAATCAGGTTGAAAAAGCAAGTTGTGTATGAAGGGCTACTGTTAGCCTTGCTCCAAGGCTGTACTGAATGATAAGTCCATGGGTGTATAATAATTCTATCATTATCATAGGCAAGTCTTAGACAGTCTAAGAATGCCAGTCTTTTCTTATTATTTTTATAATCTTGAAATTATGATTTAAACTATTATACATTGCCTTAGAGACTTGTGCAAGTCTATGCCCCTGTCAAAAGTGTACTACTCTTCGCAGGGTCTACACACTGACTACAGATTCTGTGCCCGGACTTCCCAGTGTGGAGTTGTTCAGAAGTACAAGTCCATGTCATGAGATCCAAGGGTGGAGTTTCCTTTTTCTTTGTAAACTGAAGAAAAACTTCTAAAACTCCACCAGTGTTTCTTGTACCAGGCTGTACCAAGGCTGTAGAGTGTCTTCTACATGTTGCATTATGTTCCAAACACATTTACTGGGAATCAGATTGGCTTCAACAACTGTTGACCGTGTACATGGGTATACGTTACAAGTATTGTCAGGGATACCTTGTCAGGCCATACATTTACAACATGCATTAATTTTATTTCCCAACTAATCTCTTCACATAGTTGTGAACAGCCTGGCATAAATTAAAGACATGCTGGATAATGAGGGAGGTCGTCATACTAACACAAAGGCTGAAGAAAGATACTGTAAAACATTGCATCTCTAGTCAGGTTGAGGATAAGGACCATTTCCTCCTACACTGTCACTTAGAAAGAAAGACAAATTATTTTCCCCCTTATCAATGGCCATAAAAATTACATACAAAATCTGAAGATCCTAATAAACCCTCGTGCAAGCTCTTCATATGTAATTTCCAAAACTGTATGTCAAATGTTTCTAAAGACATGCCTCTCCTCTCTGTTAAATTCATAACAATATTTTGCATACTACATGTTGCTCTGTTTACATATCTCTGTGTCATACGCTATTGCTTGTGGATAGCAGTTCGTAGACATTTTGAGGTTATTTGTGCATAAAAATTATCTATCAACCAATGACTATAACATGATCATCTGAGATGCTGTCAGTTTTAATACATACTAATGTTTCTGAATGTGCAAATGTCAATGAGCAGAGAAGAAAAATGGATTTTATTATTATTATTATTTATTTCAATTAAAACTCATTTTCTTCAAACCACAGATGAACAATTTACAAATTCAAAACATTCTCAAACCATATTAATTTCAAATATTTGCTAACTACAAATTCTTCCGTCAAGTTCAAATCTCAGCAGCACACAAGTGAACTTTGGCATGTAAAGGGCAGGAAAAAATCTCCTCCTGATGCATAAACAAACTTTTGGTGTTTTCATAACATAACTTCCTCCCCAGCTAAACTGAAGGAGGTGGCCATTGTTTACATGTCTGATCTGATGAACCCTCATAAGGGTTTCTTTGTGCTGCCTGTTCTCACAAGACCTATATGTGAGTTGTGTGAACTATCCACTATGTCCTGTACACTGCTGGAGCGTAGGATGGATGTGAGGGAGACTCCAATATGACCCATTGAAGCCTTGGGCGTAGAGAAGGACAACATTGGTATCTGGCTAAACACACAATTTGAGTGAGGTAGTTGGTGCTTTCAACAGTATATTGAGAAGTGTTTCAGTCATATTCTTTGTTGTTTACGGCTGTACTCAGCAATATTCAGCTGCATGATAGCGGCCTGTAAATAATCAAGTCTGGGCCCTACAAGCCATGCAGAGACTCCATGTTGAGTTAGTCACCAAGTCACCAAGTCACCAAGTCACCAAGTCACATCCATTAAGTCACCTCTCATGACCGAAATAGGTTGCTGGGGATCATTCTAAGCTGGAATCCCGACTGGGCATTTCAGTTTGAAATAACAGATTTTAGATTTGAAGCAATGACCATCCAATCTAAACATGGCAAAGAGACAGAGCTGTTTCTGGGATTTTTCTAGACCTACTCAGAGACCGATATTCGGCCCCAAGTCTGCAGCAAATGACAGAAAAAAATGTCCCAATATCTCAGAATTTATGAAAATAAGAACAGAAAAATGTTCCAATTTTGAACAGTATCACACTTTTTTTCCAAATTTGCCTGCTAATGGGACTTAGTTTATAATTCTAGATAAATCCCTGTGTTTACAACAATACATTTGTAGCTATGTACATCAATATTCCTGAAATGGACAAACTCTTCAACTACTTGTAATGGCCAATAAAACGAGAAACATACCACCATTTGTTTTCAACTAAAATATAGGTCAGTATCATGCATGTATATGTGGATCATATTGTGGACATACAATTGGTAAAATGTATGTGTAAGAGTTACTATTTAAGGTAATAATAATGAACAGTATCTAGACCTGCTAGAATGTTTCCCAACCTCACATCAATAAAGCAAAGACAAGCAAACATGTGCCCAATCCAAAACAGCATCTTCTCCCCGACCTACAAACATTCCCATCAACACATTACCAGGTCAAATTGTAACCCACTTAACACCATGGACATACACTTATTGTTGTTTCCAACACAACACAAACAAAGTGAATTCTTTCCTGCAGGAATTATTTTCCACCTTAATCTTCAACAGATAACCTTTGCTATGACAGAAACATCATATTTTCTTTGTAACCACTTGAAGAGTATCACAATGGTATGACGAGAAGAGAAGGAACCTGATCCTTTCAACCCACCCCCACCCACTCAGACTCCCACTTCCACCCAAAACCTAGACTTGCACAAGTCTTGAAGGCAAAAATTATTAGTTACAATCATAATTTCTTGATCATATAAATAATAAGAACAAGTTGTCATTCTAAGAGATTGTACTGTTCCCTTATCTAGACTTTCCTATCATAAGGATAGAATTACTATACACTCATGGACTTATCATTCAGTACAGTCATGGATCAAGGCTATCCAAAACCAACTGAGAAGTGAGAATAGCAGCACTTTGTAGCCTTGCTCCAAGGTTCTACTGATAAGTCCATGTATGTGTAGTAATTCTATCTTCATGATAGGCAAGTCTAGATATGTTGACAGTACATGGAATCCAGTCTCTTATTGGGACAACTTAAACTAATAATTATTGCCTTAGAGACTTGTGCAAGTCTACAGCACTTGTAGTGACATACATCCACTCTCC